AATAGAATGATTGGTATCTTCTTGAATAGCAGTACGCATACCCAAAAGTACTGTTGGTAACGTGTCCGTCCAAGATATGTTGTTGTGGGCTTTTAATGCTGTTTTTAATGTTCGATGAAGGCGCTCAACTTTGCCATTACACGAGGGGTGGTAGGCAGTAGTGTGTTGTAAATTGATGCCACAGATTTTGGACAAAGCTCGTAATGTATCACTTTTAAATTGGGATCCACGATCACTAATGAGTTTACTTGGCGTTCCGAAACGCGCAATCCAGTTGCTATAAAAGGCTCTTGCGACGTTCTCAGCGGAAATATTTTCTAAAGGAATTGCTTCCATCCAATTCGAAATCTATCTATGCAAGTAAGACAATAAATATTCCCTTTAGATGGTGGAAGTGGTCCTATGAGATCGATATGGATGACAGAAAATCTTCCTGGTGGTACTACTTCAAACTCACCTAATTTTGTTTTGGTGTGTGCCGACTGATTTTAGCTTTTCGGCAAGGAATGCAGGTTCTTCGTCCACAACTGTACATCTTTTTTTAATGTTAGGCCAAATGAATTTTGATGTCATTAATTTCATAGTCGATTTTATTTCCTGGATGTGATAAACCATGAATTCGTTGAAAGACGTGTTTTCTGAAAGCCTGAGGAATATACGGCCGAACATGTTTAGTTGAATGTATCACACCACAAATATTTCCCCCGAAGGTAGAGAACATTGCTTGAAATTCAAGGAAGTAGTAGTTTTTTTGCAAACTCTTCAGTTCTTCATCTTGAGTTTGTTTCATCAGCTATTTTATCATAATCTATTGATGAAATTTTCATTAACTCTAGATAATGTATCCGGCCACAATATTTATTCTCACCTTTTACATATTTGATATCAGTCGAAAACTGGGAGATGTATTGAAGTTGGCGAGCCTTTGTCTAGGTGTTGCTTTGTCAAGTTTTTTGACGAAAGGCGAATATTAAGGGCTTGTGATTCTGTATAAATTGTAAATACTCTTGCCTTCTAGATAATGCTTTAAGTGTCCTAACTGAAAGATATATGCTTAATAAGTTCTCTATCATATGGGTGCTATATTTTTGCTGAGTATCACTTTAATTTTTTTAGAAAAAAATGCTATTGGCTTTCCACGAGGAGTTTTCATATTGTTGCAACACTGAGCCAATCGCCATATCTGAAGCATCTGTAAATAACGCCAGAGGTAATTCAGAATTGGGAAAAGACAACAGTGCCGTGTTCACCAGGTCATTCTTGCACGTTTTCAAACTGTTTTTCAGCTTCTTCAGTCCATTCGATTTTACGTTTGTCCCTTTTTTTTAGCTCCCTTAAGATGATACTCATGTAACAATGCTTGATTCTGCGCTGCATCCTTTATATAACGACGATAAAAGTTAAGTATTCCAAGAAACGTTCTAAGTTCATGAATTGTTTCTGGTCGTTTGTAGTTAGTAATAGCTTGAACTCTTTCTGGCAAAGGACGGGAACCCTTAGGTGTAATTAGGTAGCCTAGAAACTCGATTTGGGGAACAGCAAAGACAGATTTTGAAACATTAATTCTTAACCCAAATGTATGTAATCTTTCGAAAACTAATTTAAGGTGATTTTCATGTTCTTCATGGGTACTGGATGCAATGAGTATATCGTCTAAATAGGGAAAAAACGAATTCTAATCCTCTAAAGACTTCATGATAAATCTTTGGAACGTTGCAGGAGCATTTTTTAAACCGAAACTTCGTTACATTAAATTTCGTATAAACCGAAAGGAGTGATGATAGCCTGTTTTACATTTGTCTTCTTCTGCAATGGGAATTTGAAAATAAGCTTTGAATAAATCAATTTTAGAAAAAATATTTGTACCTCTTTAAAATATGATGAAAATCTTCAATGTCCGAGGAATTGGGTATCGATCAGGCATAGTCTGTCTGCGCATTCAATCGTCGGTAGTCCTCCGCAAAGGACGATATGAACCATCCTTTTTCGTAACAAGATGTGCAAGGGGCTTGACCACTGGGAGTTTGATGGACGAATTATTCCATTGTCAAGCATGAATTTTAAATTCCTCTTTAGCTATAGTTAAGCGCTTTGGATCGAGCTGTCGTGCCTTTGAATAAACGGGTTGACCATCAGTCGTAATAAAAAATGTGTAACACCATGTTTAATTTGTGTAGGAAAAAGGTTAGGTTTAGAAAATTTCGGGATATTTCGACAGTAAATCGAAAAATTTTTATGCATTTATTTAATGTGGTTACTGAGTTAATCACTGGAAATAGCAGCGACATCACACTGGACACAAAGCTGTGTTACGCCATCAATTAATTTTTTTTTATTTATATCGATAAGCAATTTATATTTGTGAAGAAAGTCAGCTCCTAAAATACCTTTTGTGACATCAGCAATTATGAATGGAAAACTGAAAATCACGACGAAATCCCAAATCAAGAGTTAGCGTTTGTTATGCCATAAGGTGGAAATATCTGTGCCATTAGCTGCATACAGTTTGTGTATTCAGTTTTACATTTATTCTGTGAAAGTAGCAGGAATTATGCTTACGTCAGCTCCGCTGTCAATAAGAAAGTGCAAATTTGATCTTCGGTCACGAACGAATAAACGAAATTTGCGACAATCCTTCATATTTTCTGCAGCAAGCGTTTGCCGCTGAACCTACTGCAGATTCGAGTTTTCCTGGTTTTTGAAATCGTCTTTTTACCCAAGCACACGGAGGCTTGGCATTTCTCTGGAATGGATTTTGCTCCAAAACGAAAGTGATAAAAACAAAATTTGCGAGTAGGGTCATATCGTTTACGAGATTGGCAGCGAGATCGTGAACGTGAATTACGTAAATCCGAGTCCCTGCGTCTTGAGCGAATGGTTATTTGATCAAATTTTTGTTGTTCAAGAAAGGTAATTCTTTTGCAACAAATCATTTGCGGGAACGGAAATGGAGCATTAGTACTAAATACTTCTTGGTTTCCGATTCATATCACTAATTTTATCTGCCATAGACGCTAACTTGGTTACATCTTCATCACTAACTAATAATATATTTTTTATGGAGTCAGGTAGCTTCTCCAGCCATAAAGTTTTGATTAGATTTTCAGACACATCTGTAGTAGCAACTGATCTCAACTTCTGCAAAAGTTGGCTTGGTTTCATGTCTCCAAGTTCGATACCAGTAATCAAACGTTTAATTCGTACATTTTCACTTTCTTCGAATAAATGTAATAACCTAATTTTAGCATCCGAATATTTTGTGGCACTATCGTTCGTTACAATGTCCCAAATATTTTCGACGAACTTAGGTTCAAGCTGTGAAACTAAATAATTAAATTTCGTTTCTTTTGAAACGATATTACTAAGTTTGAACTGAGCTTCAACTTGAAAAAACCATATTTCCGGTTTATCAATCCAAAAAGGAGGTATTTTTACACTCACCTTATGAAGCTCCGGTGACTGTATCGTATCTTTCATAGCAGTTTCAGAAGAGTCATTTGTTGACATTTCGAAAATTAATCAGGGTCACCACGATGTAGCCTTGGCTACTAATGTTTAAAATTAATTTATGACTAGTAACAACATGAATTATAAACAAATAGCTAAGTTATTGCATTTTATTTTCCAGCTATCGAAATGTGACGCTACGAGCAACGTTTTGAAACCAAAACCTAGCAATCATGAATCAGAACTACCTAGTTGCCATTCAGCATAAAGAAATTTAAATATAAATATGAACTACTTATTGCCATTCAGCATAAAAGAAATATAAATATGAATATTAACAAAATATTAAAGTTAATTTTATAAAATAATTAAACACATGAACAAATATATGAAATAAAAAATAATTATTTCTCATGCACTAACTGGGCCACTACAGACTAATAACATTACTTAACATTAAAAAACATTACTTACCGTCGCTTTTGAGGTAAGCTGCGGTCTATGGTCATATTCGTACATGCTGAATTGAATGAATTTTTTTTTTTTTTAAATTTTAAATTTTAAAACAAGTTTGGCGCATGTGAAGAGGAAATGCAGACGTGGATGGAGGTAGACATTTCTGTTCCCATCTCACTCTCAAGAGGATGAAAAAATAGTCGGAAAGGAGAAGAATGATGAAGCGGATGGAGATGAAGACGATACATAGAGCAAGAGAATTACATGGAAGGAAGCTGACGGTTGCAGACGACGAAAAATTGCAGACTTTCCGAGAAATATTTATCTAAGTCAGTACATGGTGTTACGAAGCTTCACTTTGTACAGCGAATTTTTAAAATGGCGAAAAGAAGGCAGACATTCGAAGTTATATGCCATCACACTGAGAAATTCGTAGCTTTTATGTGATAGTAAATATATTTTTTAAATATTGTTCGATTTTTTTAAAATACAAAATCATATATATGGAATTTTAAATATTTCGGTCGATTTTTGATATTGTTTATTTAATTGCGGACAACAAATAAAAAAAAACACGGCATACGGATTTTACATGTTGCAATTTCTATAGATAAAATCACAAAACATGAACAGGTAAATTCTAGAAATGCATAATGGTATTATCCGGAATCGGTCAGGTCCCGTTGTTGCAGGTTAAAACAGATTGTTTTATATATAAATTCGTATATAGTACAATCTGTCTGAACCAGATTTAATCTGTGTGATACTAGAAGGTGTTCTAGGTGGAATTGTCTACAGATTTCTTTCAAATTAAAATGGATAATGAAAATTCTGGTATTGTAAAGCACTACTGAACATTACTTCTATATGGCGATCATCTCTAGACAAGATAAAAATCATCTAGAATTGTAAGTTATCGTCTTATGGGGGTTTCACACATTATTATTTGTTTATGATCAAAGCAATAAATTCTCATAATTCTTAAATTATACTTTACATGACTAAATTCAAGTTTATTAACTCTCTTTTTTTAATGATTTTGATGTTGAGTATAAGAAATATTATTATATAATCTTTTTAAATTGAAACAAAAGACATTTCTGTTAAAACTTACATATGAAGGTTTTATTTCAAATTCCATTTCCATCACAGATTTCATCTAGTACTTATCAGCACAAGATGTATAAATTAAAAACATACAATTATGCAGAAACTTAAAATATTTACATTGCATATAAAAGATACAAATATGAACTAAATTAGAGCAAAAATCATTTACTTAAAGACTATGCATTATGTATTTAATAATGGAAATAGATACATACTCAAAGCTGGATCTTTCGTAAATCTGCATTAAAATGTACGGAACATCTGTATGCTTCTATAATATTCTACAAAGTATATCAAGTATGAAAAATTATATTGAAATGGCTTAGCTTTTCATTTATTTGATAAGATAAATTTTGCTAATGTATACTTCATAATACTTATTTTATTTTTCATAGGACAGTAATAAAAATGAGTAATTTGAATAACCAATTTAAGATATGGCATTTAGTTGCAAAATCAGTCTTTTAAGTCAGTTAAAGTAGAACGAAATTATTTTCTAAACGCATTAATCGGAAAATCCACCGAAAAATTTCAATGACTTGCTTTACGGCTGTAATTTGTGACATATTATTGTTCAGTTGGGCATTATTTCTTGTGATGCTTACCTAGTAAACTTCAAAGCATTTAATTATTTTGGACATTTAATTACTTATTTCTAGTGTTAGAGACATAATATTTTAAACGTATATGGCTTCTCGGGCTTTAAGCATGAAGTTATTAAGCACCTCCTAGGAGGTAAAAGAGGGATGATTTTAGAAAAAATCCGTAGATTACGCGTTATTTTGTTTCGAAAGTGTGTTTACTTGTATTTTGAAAGGAAGCTTGTATATTCTATCGATTTCCTTTTATTTACGGGTCAAGCACGTAGGTTACAGGTTGATTGATTAAAGGAAAGCAACTCGAGAGCTACCTGCCTATGAAAATGGATGCGTTCTTAGACTCTTTAAGAGAAACTAATTTGACAATTTATTGGAAACTAATTTGATTTTCTTACTTTGTCGACTTCTACTATATTGCTCATCGACTAATGGCACAGAAGTTGGTGATGGGCGTAAGATAAACAGAAAGGTTTTCTAATGAGAAATTTGGAATCTCGGTTAAACTATTTTTTGCAAAAATCATTAGAAGTGATAAAGCGCAGAATAAAAAACTTTTAGCGATAATGAAGGAGAAAACAAGTAAAAAAATATAAAAATAAAAACTGCATCGCTGATGACACACGAAGTTCAAAACGTGCTTACATGTTTGCGGCGCGATATTATCTAAAAATGTTGCAGATCAAATACTTGAACACCTTAAACAGAAAACGATGTTGAATAAAAAATAAAATCATTCACCAAAAAAGAGGTTTATATTTATATTAATCTAAAATTCATTGCGAAGAGAAAATGTATTTTGGCTCTTTGTACTGTAGTAAATGAAACTAAGCAGCTTTTGTTTGCCGTATTAATAAGAATATTTGTTTCCTGTTTTAAATGCTTCTTGAGTATTCTCTTATTATTTTATTTTACTTTATTAGTTTATCCTTTTCTATTCTGCATGCTTATTGCAATAGTTTTCCCGATATTACTGAAAAGAGTGAAGTTTAACCATTGTTCGCACTCCTGTTTGTTTCTACGGACAAAAACTGGCTGTGACTATTCGAATTAACTAAAGTCTATTGTGAAAAAATTGTTTATTGTTTCAGTTCAAACCTTGCTAACTTATTTGGATTATTTTGTCATGACTGTACTTTTACTTGGCCCTTTTGAATAACAGAGTTAATTCTGTTTTAATGAAAAATGCAATTTAGTTTATTTTTTTAACTTTAAATTTGGCTAATCATAAGCTCTAAAAACGGGTGCATCAGTGCGATCAATTTCTTGTATAGGCGCGTTGATCATAGATATTGAGTCTATTCTATACTATCTGCCGTTAAAAATGTCATTCAATTTGTTTTTTTTTTATCTTTGTGTAGCTATAAATTGAAAATTCTAGAATGCAAAATATGCACATTCAGTGAGGATATTCAAAAGGGATTACTTGAATGTAACTTATTCAAATTCATGATATCAGATAAAATTAAATAATGATAAATAAAAGTGCTGTTTTGATGCTGTAATATCCATTTTCCCTTTGCTCATGGATACTAAGACATCAAAATATGTTGCATAAAGTAATGTCGTCTGTAAAATATATATAATTTGTAAAACATGAATATAAAATCAATTAGTCCTTTTTTTCATTAAAATTAATGATTTTATTTGAATTATGTGAAGAATTTAAGCTCAAAATCTGTACGTGATAAAGTAACCTTTAGATTTTCAATGTAATCCTCTTCACGATATCCTGCAGTATTTGTTTTTATCTGACAGAATTATGATCAGCTTAGTAAAGTATGAAATTTATGTGACTTTACTAAGTAGACATTTTAATATTCGAATTAAAAAGTTGTTTTGGGGATATTACATATTAATAATTAAATTAATAATAAGCTACAACTGTGCTGTAGATATTCAAATAGATTAATATTATGAATTATAAACATTTACATTTTAAACTTATTAAAAATTATCGTCCTGAAAATAAATTACATCTAAAACACATTTACGTTAAAATTTTAATGATCTATATAGCTTATCTCAAATCAACATTTAAAAATAAATTCTCTGTGATTGAGGAATAACTATACTGACGATTATATAAATATTATATATTATAAAGACATAAACTCAATATATTATTAGTGTTTTTGTTAATTCATTATACACAAATACTTTTATATTGCTTTTAAATGTTGAAAATAAAAAGACTGGCAACAACTTTATACAGGAATTAAAAAAATTATACTGATATAAGCAAATCAAAAAATATCAAGGATCTTTTCTAAGAAATATCAATTCTGTTTTTCAGTCATTATACTTTTTACATGAAAATCAAACCTTCTCTGAGGAATTCATATAACAATATAGCTGATATTTCAAAAAATATAATACACATTTATTTTTAAATGAAAATCAATAATTACCAATAACTGATCTAAATGAAATTCTAAGTAACTTAATGTAATATTCTATTATCCAAATAATTAACATTTTGCAGAGTACAAAATTTTCTTAATAAAAGTACTGAAAATATATTACAAATTAGACCTTTTGTTACACTTATTTTTCAAATAAGTCAAACAAAAGGATTTCGTTAAAATTTCGTCTTTATGTTTCTGTGGAAGCTATTGCTCTTTTTTGCCCTTCGCTAAACTTATTTTCAATTTCTCTTTGTGCTCTAGAATTCTTGACTCTGTCCCTAGGCAGATCCTCTTCACCTGCCTGCAGAGAAAACTTTCTAATCTTGTCTTGAAATGTTAATTTTTCGGGTCGTGATATCCAAAGCTTCTTGAATTCTGGGGATTTATCCACTAAGTCGCTTGGAATATCCTTTGCATAACCATTTCTCGCTTTGCCAGATGAGAACAAGGCTTGATGCGTGTCATTATCACAAGCAGAGAGTCCATTCAATTTTCTAGTTAAAGTGCTCGACACTCCCATACATGGAAATTTCTTTTCAAAATGGCTGGTACTATTCCTTGAAGACACTGGATCTTGTAAAACAAGGGTGCTGCCGCAACTTGTTGATCTGGGCAAGGTATGAGATCCAAACCCATTCTTTATGGCGTTTGGATTAGTTTTGGGAGGTTTGTATTCAACTGGTTTAATGTTTTCATAAATACGCGTTTCTTCTCTTGAATTTATGTTTTGTGTTGATTGTTGTGGTCCACGAACATCTTCTCTCTCCGTAAAGTTTGAATGTTCGAAAGAATTCACTTCTATCAACCAGTTTTCTTGAACAATATCTCCTCTACCATTCTCACTGGCATTTTCATTTGAACAGAAGTAGGCACTCGAATCGGAAATTTCGAGTTTCGTTAAGCTGCTTATGTTATCGGCTGTGTTGTTTGAACTGGAACCATTCACAGCTTCCGATGCGAATTCGGAGCTGGTATTATGGTTGTAAATGTTCGTATTTGGTTTCGAGTTTACAGGTGGAGAAACTGCAGTGAATGCTTTGCTAGGTCTAGGTGCTGGAACAGGTGGCTTCGAAAGTCTGTTTCCGCTATGGTCTGCATTATGCTCCAAAGATATTTGTAGAATATTATTTCCTAGATGTGCAGATGATGGTTCTAGTATATCTCTGTCTGGTATCGATACATCTAAGGGTATAAAGTGTTTTTCTGAGGGATTTTGTGGCTTTTGTTCTCGATCTCCGTTACATTTTTCTGAAGATGTAGAAGTCTTAGATGGTTTTTCCAGTTCATCCAGGAGTTTTAGACCAGTTTTTTCATCAGAATTCACCGGTCGCTGATCTCCCTGACAGCTTTCGATCTAAATAATAGAAAAAGGGCAAAAGTGAATTTCAATGGAAAATTATTAAAATATTTTTTATATACAACATTCAGTTGATTACAGCACAAAGGTATTTCATTATAATTCATTTATCCTACGGTAAATAACAAAATTACGGGAAATTTACAAGAGAAACCCCCCTCCCAAAGAAAGAAAATTAAAACTTTGGCTTTCAATTTTCAGTTTAAGCAGATATAGACAATGAAGTAATTTCTCGTCCCCACCAGCTTTTAAGCGGAAAATTTTCTTAAATAAGAAGGTGGCATTTTTCTAATTTGGTTTACTTTATCATTTTACGATTACTTTTCCCATAAGTTAACTTTTAATTTCTAAAGTAAATTTGTTCTTAAAAAATAATTACAAAACATAAGATGAATAACATAAGGAATAATAGTAATACAAACATAAAGAAGTGATTTATTTCTTATAGTTTTAGGTTTTCTTTGCAATTTTTTTGATCCAAATTGTATGATCTTAAATTTAAACAATATATGTATAATATAATTATACATTCACCCTTTTTAATTCTGAAGTCATCTCGATTCGTCATTTTTACATTTAGTTTTTATGACATAGCTTTTACTACTTTAATATTGTTTCTAGTTGTTACATGATTTTGCATTTTTGCTAAGGAACTATAGAATCAAATGTATTTTTTAGCATTAGCTTTTAACATTCCTCTTACTTGTAAAATTTAAACAAATTTTGCAACTCAATGTGCAAAATTCTTGACCACTAAGGTCTCTCTAATTCATGGTGTCTTGCTACTTTCGTATATATATATACATATATTATATATATACATATACACACACTACTTAACATTACTTAGTTTGGCAAATGCTGCTCCACTCTCCAAATATAAATATATTTGGTAAGTTAAATTAAAACTTACTATTTACTTGCCTTTTTATTTTTATTTTTATTTTATTGTTGTAGTATTATTTATGTATTTTTATAGATAGTATATAGTTTCTTTTTGATTTATATGCATAATTCGTGTCGGGAAAGTTTTCTGTAGGCAAAAGTTTCTAAATTATTTTGGTTTCTTAAAAAATTTGGTTTTCTATTCTTAATTGACCTTTCTTTATTTTAATTCTAGTCATTTACTTGCTAATTTCTCAAAATTCCACTTGTTTAAATTTCTTTTTAGTAATTCACGGCATTTGATTTTATTTTTGGTTTTGAAATTTACTTTTACTTTTGCCTACATCAGTGTTTCCCAACCTTTTTTGTGCTATGCCCCACCTAATCCTCTCTAAAATTTTTATGCTCCCCCTAGTATATACATAATTTTTAACATTTAAAAATTGAAATATTCACGAAAGAAACTTGAATGATAGCTTTTAGGAAGAAATGACTACGAAATTTTGTGAGCAAAACTTTAAAAACATGGAGAACTGAAATTCCAGAAAAAACTCATTTTAGTGAAAGTTTTTCATTTTCAGTAATTTTTCAGTAATTCAAGTAATTTGTATTATTTAAATTTAGCAAGTTCCTTGCGCTTGATACTTGCTGCAAAGAAATTTTACGTCAGGCTCCAATTTAGATAACTTGAGTCTCAAGTCTCCCGGTTTCATTATATCCAATCGAATTTTTTTTTAGCAGCAAATCATTTATGGCACTAAATCCGCATTCAGCAAAATATGAAGATGGAAACGGTAATAATAGTTCTCTTGAAAATTTTGTTGCATTTGGATATTTGATTCTGGTTTCCTCACAAAGCTATGTCATCGCTCCTTTTATATTAAATAAAGTTTTAATTGACTCATCATTTTGCATTTCTGAGAGTTCTTCTTTTTACTGCATATTTGAAATATCAGCCAAATCTACTAGCATTGGCTGCATCATCTACGTTGGGAAACTGATTTGTTTTAAGTTACAAAATCTTTTAAATCAGCCGATAAAATTTTCAGATGATCGACAATAACAAGTATAGCGGTATCAATAACAAGTAGAGCGGTAGTCACGTCACATTTTTGGAGCCACTGAGACTTTTCCAAATTTTTGTGGTAAATAGTATATGCCTGACATAATTCAACAAAGATAATGAAACCATATATCTTACTTTTGCATCAACATAAGTTTTATTTGCTTCTTGAAGTTGTTTATTTAATATATTTAAGTTTCCAAAGATATCGGCTAAATAACCCACAATTGCCTTATTATCATCCGTTGACGGATTTTTCATTTAAGGTTTGTCCCTTATAAAATAACTAAGAGTATCAAATAGTTTCATAAATTTTTCCAAGCAGTTCCCTTTCGACAGCCTTCTTACTTCAGTGTGAAGTACAAGTCTCCTATATTCTTCATTTTGTTCTTTCATAAAATAACTTGAAAAGAGATTCACATTTGGCCCTAGCTTTAATAGCATTGATACACTTTATAACTGAATTTAGTACTTCATTTAGAACAGGCGAATTGTTTTTAGCTACCAGGTTTTCTCTGTGAATAACACAATGCACAAGAAGCTTTTCTGGATTCTCATCTTTTATCAATTTTAAGCAACCCTTTTTCTAGTTTTCAGCTTTTCAACAAGCTGTATTTCAATATCGTCATTTAATCTTTCTTCTGCAAACAGTATTGTTATTTAGTGGCTAGCTTAACAGTATTGTTATTTAACGTCTTTGTCATCTTTTTCTAGAACAGTTTTAAATGCTGATATTGATGGTTTAATTCAATCCTCCCCTATAGTACCGCTTTTCCCAGATTAAGCGATGAGTAATGAAATTTGATAAATAGCCTCAAGAGCACGATTAACAGTTGCATTATGACCAGTAAATAGAGACTTTAATATTACTCTTTTTTTCAAAAATTTTCCTTAAAGGGTGAAAATAAATTCAAATCTGAATTAATATCAGCATTATGTTTCGCCTTCAAATGTGCCTCAAGACGACCTAGTTTCATTGATTCGTTGGTCAGGCATTATTGGCATAAAAGACAAAAGTTGACCGTTTAATGGACCGGGTATGAAACCAAATTTTAAATATCCCTCCGAATACCGACGAACGTTTTTTTCTTGCTTGCACCCCTCATTTCACTAAGGGCTGAAAGAAATAAAGATAAGATCAATAGAAACAAAGCTGAAAGCAGTTGCTTTTGCCATTCAAGGAAGAATAATATACCGATTGCCTTTCCTACGGTAAAAAATAAAATAAATTCGTTGGCTGAAATGTGCGGGAAACGTCTGGAAAGCATAAAGTGCCAGTTAATTAAATGCCTTTAAAAGCATTTAAATGTCCACGTCTACAGCGAGAATTCTTTATAAAATATTTAAAATGCACCGCAATTTAAAAACTTTTTTACGTATACATCACTTACATTTTTCTTTATTTTAGGGAATAAAAAATGAAATTTCGAAAAATTTTGACTTCATGAAGCATATTTAGAACGTCCTTTGTCCCCTTACACTCTGGACGAGTCCATTTTCGAATTGACCCCCTTAACAGACGCATTGCCCCCATGTGGGGCGTGGGCCCCACGTTGGGAAACACGGGCCTACATGGATAACGAAACATGAATTGAATAATTGAAGAGATAGGTTTGGAGGCAACTTCCTCTTGATAAGTCTGTCTCCTGCCTGCTCAACAATTATTCACTTATGCATTTTTATAAATTTTTTAAGATTAAAAAATTTTTTGGAATTATATATTTATTCATGGATTTTGATACTTGCACTTGATTTACATATGCTCTCAGAATTTAAATGATATTGTAGATTAGTTCGCAGCAATAATTAATAATTTATTTGTTTGCAATTAAATTTCATTAACTTTTAACTTGCTTTTTACGAATAGAGAATTCAATTTTATATATATATGTATATACATATATGTAATGGGAAAGACGTAGTACGGCGTAGAACGCAGAATGTTGAATCACCAATGAACAGCAAAATTGGCAGTCGAGGTATGTTAAATATTCATCTTTATTCCAATCGACATTTGCATCCATAAACTACTTAAAAATTACTAAAATTATTAATTTAAGAAATTGTGAATTACTAAAAAGCACTGTAATCGTACCCATTAAAGAATATTTATAATTTTGACGCTGTTACGATAGGAAGAGAGCAGCCACACAGATCTTAACGGGAACAGAGGTAAAAGCAAAAAAGCGCAGTTATCCAGTATGACAGCCTATTAAGAGAAAGTTTCGGTTTAAGTTGCTTATTAAGGGAAAGTTTAAATTTTCTAAATTTTGAGTTCAGGTTTCGAATTAGCTACGTCATCAGCGTTATGCAAACCATGTGACATAGATTGATCTAGAAATGACGCAGTCCAGAAAAGTTAAGCTTAAATTATAATTTTGAGATTTACATACGTTTTATTGAGATTGACATATTTTTTAATCGCACATATATCTATATCTATCTATATGATAATGAATCAAAAAGTAAAGGTCGGAACGGAAGTTAAATAAAAATTCTGTTCCAAAAATTTGAAGGTCTAACTTTCTCTCTCCGAGTAAAGATTACCAAACTGAATAACTCTCTGAACCATTTGAGACTTAAAACCGGTTTTAATTACTAAACAATATTTTTAAAAGGAATTTCGAATTAGTCTCAAATGCTGAGATCTTACCGCAACATGCATTCGTACTCAAAGCAAACAAAAATACAAAAATGAACTTCTAAAAATTAAATGCATATGCTTAAATAGTACAAAAACCTAAAAAGAGGCAAAACAAGCTAATTACACAAAATGAAATCAAATAGGAAAAAGGTTTGTCATGTCTCGTGTAGTATAATTTTTAAAAATAATTTAATTATCTTTTAACAATTCCGTTTTTTGAATGCTTCCTTAATTTGCGTTTATTCAGTTTGGTAACCTTTACCCGGAGACACAAAGTTAGAACTTCAAACTTTTGGAACAGAAATTTTATTTAATCTTCGATAGGACTTTTACTTTTTGATTTATTATCATGTTATAATCTAGGAGCTAATGCGCAGATTCGTCTCCTTTCTTTATTAATTCTTATTGCTTCATTGATAAGTATTCTTTAGAGTATATCTATCTGTATATATTGTTAGGAAATGTCCAGCCGCGGTAAGATAGCTTCTCCACAAGGTGGGTTTAGGGTTCCCAGAAAATGGAAAAGGACAGAGTTACCAAATTTGGCGACAAATCGCCCATTTTGTGACAAAATCGGCGATATGCCACAGACGGATGGAGAACCTTCTAGAACGACTTCTTACCGGTTTGCAGCAGAATGTTCTCGAAGGCAGTTCAAAAGCTATATAAACCCTGCCTGCAAGTGGAGTAACAGTCAGAGTCAGTCGAGTGAGTTGATCGTCAGTCAGTGTCTCGTAGTCTATAGAGTCGATCGCGAGTCTATTGAGTGTCTTGTAGTCTATCGAATTGGTCATCGAAGTATCGCGAGTCTAAGCGAGTGCATCATCGAGTTTTATCGTCAGTCTACTTTCGGGATGATGCATCGAAAAGGTGCATCGTTGAGGTTATCATCGAGTGCATCGCGAGTTGTAGCATGAAGAGTCTCGAGAGTACGTAGCGTTCCGAGTCGAGAGCTGTGCTCTGATGCCTCGCCGTGAAGCTGTCTTCACCGTTATAGCCTGAAGGCTTTGTTGCTGATTGTTTCAGCATGCTTGTCGTATAGTAACTGATAATAGTTAAAATGGATCTGTGTTTATGGCTTTTAAATAAATTAGCTTGTTAATTAATAACAGAATAAATTTGAAAGAAAAATTAAATATTATTTGCGTTTCGAAGGACAACATGCTTTACGCTTTGCCGAAAGGAAACACAAAGCTTTTAATCGCTGAGTTTTTTGATTAAAAATTTCTTGAATTCGCACAAAATGTGAAATAAATGCAAAAAATTCAAAATTCAAAATTGAGCTTCGCGATACCCTTTCTTACGAACTTCCACAGATAGGAACAAACCTGCTTTCAAAGAGTGAAAATTTGTTTGGAGTCGAAAGGAAAATAATTTCACTTTGCAGCACTTTTCGAAACACTACAGCATTTTAATTGTTTAAGGAACATCCATTATGCATGGTGAGATGTGAAAGAAGTAAATATGAATAGTATTAAAATATATGTACACTGAAAAAAAAAAAAAAAAAAAAAAAAAAAAAAAAAAAAAAAGAAGAAGAAAGAAAGGAAGGAAGAAAATCTGCGTTTTTTTTTTTCAACATTTTGTGTGTTACCTTTATTTATTAAATATCATGTTCTTCGCACTTAAACCAGAAAACTCAGTGCAAGAGCAATATCGAAAAATAATTTTAAATTGAGCATATCTTTAGAATTTCCGATACACAGCTCGAGATAAAAATGCTTTTTCTGTACAACATTGCCATTGCTCCCTTTGAAATCTTTGAGATTGTTAATCAAAAATTCGTTAAAGTTTTACAAATTATGAAATCGATAATAAAACAAATTCCAAATTTGGGCTTCCAGATGCCCATATTCGCAGTAGGATTACGTCACTCAAAATTAGATGGTTCTAGATACCGTTGTTTTATCACAATGCGAGAAACATACATACATTTATGCAGATTCTTCATTATTTAATTTCTTCAAATATAATACAGGGCGATAATATTTGGTGGCAACAGTTTGAAAAGTGAAACGGACATTCAGAGTGATTCGACGCAAAATCGCAAAACGAATACAATAGTTCCTCAGAGACACAGCCGCTTTGAAACCTGTTTGGATATAAAATCAGATGCATAACATTTTTTATAAAGACTATATAAAATAGGTTTATTTACATCACTATTGTAATTTATGATTTTACTAAATTTTATTTTCATCTTTATTGCAGTTATTCAAAAAGGCGCAAATCCCTAGTCTCATTGTTATCAATAATGTGTTGCACACTGCGAAAAAAAAAAAAATCTATATCTCCCGTTCTACTGGGCTGATTGACGAAATTCACCTTACGTTTTTCATGTTTCGAAAGTGCGATTCAGAATATGTATTAGATTTGTATATAGCTTTGTTCTAACATAGGTATTATGACACAAAATCGAACTTTTTCCGAAATAACATACCAATTTTTTTCCATATGTCGATTATACGACTCAAATTATGACAAAGTGTAAAAATTGCGAGAGTAGTCTTTTAAAAAAGGTCTCAAAATTTTAGCTCCTCAATGGCAATTGAATTTGATATATATTTATTCATATCTCTATTTTTTTATTAAACATGCTTGATTCCTTCTTCCAGAATTCGAAATTTAGGCTTAATATAATTCGCAAATTTTATTTTAAAATTTATTTTTAAAATTTGTATTTTTAAATATTTTTTATAAGTTTTTCGAAAAACTTCTTGTAAAATTCCTATAAAATTTTTAACATCATCTTAAAGTAGATGTATTTCTAGGCACACTTGCAAAAAATTAGAGTTTTTATTCAAAATTTTCTAAGATATACATGAATTTACATATTGGCGCGTTTTGAAATTTGGCATTTTTTTTTTTTTTTTTTTTTTTTTTTTTTTTTTTTTTTAGCAATAATAATGCCAAATGTGGTTTGTTAAAATTATTTGAAAGGATGAACGATGACTTTTTTTGCATTTTTACAATGAAAAAAAATGAAAGCAAATTGCTATAAATTAAGAAGTTTGCCAAGTAAATGATTCTTGGCGCAAACTGAAAAAAAAATGCGCCAAGATAAATTTGTGAATTTCTCCGTAAATGTCGCACCAAATTTTAAAAATTTAATATTCAGGCATAAATTGAGTCGTAAAATCGAAATATGGAAGCAAACTGGCATGTCATTTTAGAAAAAGTCTGATTTTGTGTTAAAATACCTATGTTAGAACAATGTTATATATAAATGTAATAAATGTAATATATATCCTAAGTCGGGCTTTCGAGACATGAAAAACGCAATTTGGATTTCGTCAATCGGCCCAGTAGGACGGGAGATATAGAATTGTTCCCCCTTTTTTCCCGCAATATGTTTTGTTTGTTTACGACTATCAGGGATTTTTGGTAGGCCAAGACTCAAATTCTGAAAAGTTTATTAAAAATCTGCTGTGCATAATGCCATCCAGTGCTATCATCTTATTGACTTACTATGTATTTACTGTTTAAAAAGAAAATCTGTTTTCACAAGTTTAGACACTTATTTTCTTCTGAGATATACTTCAGAAATCGATATTGTTAGCCCACCTAATATACCAACTCCTTTAACCTCTCATCTTAAGTATCCCCTTTACTCGTCTGCCAGTCTTCACAGGACCAGTTGAAAATTGATTCCATATAAGATAACAATCCTCCACGTAATGATCACCAGCCTCATCATAAACCCATGCAGAATTGGCTCAAAGATGACAATCCAAGGTAGATACTGTATACTAAAGTAATTCTTTATTTATTTATGATATACTGTATTTAAAACTTAAATTGTACTATTAGTTTTAGTACTTTTAATTGTTTATTTTATAGTTTTTATAGCTGTATCTCACGAAAATCGTTAGGAGATATGCCTAGCGCACCTAGTAAAATTTTATGAACAAATTCACTGTTCGTTTGCAATTCGTTTGTAAGGAAGGGAGCGTTTGTAAGTGCTAATAATAGCGACTAGATATACATATATTCAAATAATTTTGCACGAGAAAAAGTAACAGTGCAACTAACAAGCAATAATAAAATTTAGAATGCTGAATTCAGCAGAATCCAATAGTATCACTGCAGATGGTGGTCAAAGGCAGTAGTTTCCCCCCCCCATATGAAATCTAAATATGCGATCGCGCTGCTCAACGATTAGTAACCCCCTATTGTAAGCATCATTTCAAACGTTATACTGGAAGCTCAGTATGAGGATCCCACTATGATTCTATTTTCTTTTATTTATTTCTGAAGTTAAAGAAAACGATGCATGCAGGATTTTGACTTCGAATAAGAATAAAACATTGAGAAGAAAGAGGGGGGAAAAACTGACTGGGAAAAAATAGGTAATTTTTGAAGAATTATTCTAACCTTTTCACAAATAGCATCAGAGATTTGCGTGCCTTCGGTTTCTTCGTCATCTTCATCGTCATCGTCTTGCAATTCCTGCTCCGCCCTTCGCTGAAATTCTCGCTCTAAACGTAAGATTCGTAGCCATTCCTCTTGTTTTTCGCTGCGGTCTGTTATGGATTCCAGGTAAGCGATTTCTTGATCACGTGCCCGTCGCGCATCCAACAGCTGTTCACGCTGCAACTAAATGATAAAGAAAATAAAGTTTATTTTTAATTTTTCTGAAATAAGTGAAGATATTGTTACATTTAAATTGTACGTAGTTAAAATATCAGCGTTTAAAGTAATTCGTAACTAACTGAAGTAACCAAACAATTTCACACACTGCATTGTTCCACATTGAAACAGCCGTATTAGAAAGAAAAGCCGCAAGGTTATGAACATTGTACAGGATTGTAAGTGCAGCTAAGAAAGACAAATGATCAAATTTTTAAGGTCTACTTTTATTCAGCGACACCCAGGAGGGATTTAATTATATAAAAACCTTATTAAATGCATTTCCTTTCCCCTGCTGTACGAGGCTTCAAGAATCGTATTAAAGTCTTGTGATTTGAAAGAGTGCGATACTCGAATTCAGCAACATGCCACTTACTACAAACGGAAGAGGACAGAATCCTTGGACTCACAGATGTTAATTTTACATTCTGGTAGATCACTACTCATTTAAGCCGATATGTTAGACTCTATTTAACGTTGTGCATTCGAGGCACTTACATGACAATGGGAAAGAAGGCTGACAGCCAATCCAGTGTTCCACTGAGCTTAAACCTTGGTTTTCAAAGACTATCTTGTGTACATCTAGGCAGAATGGAAGCCAGACTATCCTCTTAAGCGATGAATCTTGCTTCTATCTTGGAAGCGATGGTTGAAAATTTGCCTGGTGGACCGTATGATTAACAAGCCTTTACAAAAGAATGTTATATTGGTCCTTTTTTTGGAATAATGATGTGGGGTCTCATGATATATAGTAGGCAGGTTTTTTTAGGCTTTCGATCTGGAACACTAACAATGACAAGTCTCGCCATGTTGATTTGGTTGTACAGCCTATGGTACGACCATTCATAAAGAGTGTTCCAGAAGATATTTAACTATATGATACAGGCCTATAATTTTGTCGTACTACTGGGAACTGGCTGTATTGACCTGACGTACCACTGTGGCCTGCTACATTTCTGGATTTATCTTCTGTTGAGTAAATCTACGGCAGTATCATTTGTCAGCACTCCCAAAAGAAAAATCAGCCAATCTTAATGCTTTATGTGCCAAAGTGCAGCGTGGCAAACTAGTCCTTAGAAAATGATTAATGATTTCATGCATACCTAGACGTGTAAATGGGAGTATATCTGTGCATGAAGGGCCATTTTCATACTGAGTAAGTTGAGATAATTTGAATACTTTGTGTACGATTTTTGATCATTTGCATATGATTAATTTGTTTATCAATCCTTTGTGATTGAAAATTCAAAATTTCCATTACTTTTCCATTTTAATACTGCAATTTCAGTGTTAAAGAGTGTAGAGTGAAAGCAAACACTGATCATTCCAACAATTAAAATATTCGTATGGGTATCGAAACCAGCAAAAATAAATAAAATGCTTTAATACGAAAACCGTTAAGTTTAATATTTAAGTGCGAATAATAGATGTGATATGTAATGTAATACATATTGCTTAGCTAGTTATTCGACTACATAGATTATTACATACATTTAATGTTATAAGTTATTTCTCCCGTCTTCTTGGCATACCTTCGTGGTGTGGTGGTCTGCACGCTGGCCGCGCATTCCAGAGGTCCGCGGTTCGATTCCCGGCGAAGGCGTTGCTAATTTTTCGTCTTGCCTGCTTCCAAAAAGTGCTTTAATCTTACTACGTTCGGCCGTAGTCTTACGTGCCTGTTAGTATTCGCCGAGGAGGTTTACTTACGGGTCATCTAAGTTAGTTAACTTTTTTATTTTCGATCTCAAGTTAAAGCCCAAGTCGAGGCTTTCGTGTCAGTCCGAGCAGGGGCTGACTGTATTATTTCTGTGAGTTAATAAAAGGATATTTCAACCCATATTTGGACTCATTCTTAAGGGCCGTTTCCACTGGGGTTTATCTGAGCTAACAAACACAATTAACGTAGCCGACCCATCTCCAAAACCTGTTCTCTCCCATAGGGCAGCAAGTTGAAAAATCTGAACAGCAGGCACAGCGGAGCTAGTCAACACATGGAACTAACTCCGTTAGCTCAGATAAACCTCTGTGGGAACGGTCCTATATAGTTGTAAGAAGACCAGCAAATAGGCTCTAGACTTTTCACAAAAGTTCTAGTAGCCAAAGACATTAGGTTATTTTAAGCAGGAAATGTGAAAAATGTGCAGTGCCCTCGTAGGGGCTCGAACCTGGACCTCTCGAATACCCTTCGAGTGTGCTATCTTTACATCATGAAGGCATGCTAGAAGGGGGAAGAAAATACACATAAATTAACTAGAACTTTATAACTTCAAAGACTGAAAAATGATTTCAACAATTGTTCAATATTATCGAGCCGATGGTCCCCTTTCTCATCAATCGTTTTACTTGCCAAGTAAATGAGCAGAGATAACAGCATACGTTGCAGAATTTATACAAGCAAGAAAGAAAGAACTAGAGCTAGAAATTTTGGATTTTAAAATTTACATAGTCCTAAAATCCGTTGCATCGGATAAGAATTTCTGGAATATATTTGACAGACACAAATTTCCATTCTTGAAAAGAGCATCATACACAACGCACCGAGAAAATATAAAGCAAATTGGACACAAATTGATATGCATACAGGTTTCGACGAAAAATGCAAAATTTTACATTTTGGCTGCCAATGAATGAACGGTTGTTGCTACAGCGCATCTGATCTGTGCAACTGGCAGGATATTTAAAAGGAAAAATTACGATTCCAGGTCATAAATTCTTCACGAATTTTATTCCGTGTACTCTGGTACACAGTAACTATGCCTCGCATACAGGTGCGCGAACGATATGCGCAGATGTCAGAATTTGAGAGAGGTCGTGTAGATGGGATCAAAGAAGCCGGTTGGTCTTATCGGCGAATAGCTCGACATTTGAGCAGGAGCGATGCCACTATTAGACGATGTTGGCAGAAATGGGTGAAGAATGGCCGCACACAGCGTCAAGAAAGAAGCGGTAGGCCTAGAGAAACGACAGAACGTGAAGACCGAGCAATCGTCAGAGCGGCATTTACTGCCCCAGATGCATCATTATCATCGATTGTACGTGGAACTAGTGTTCAGTGACCCCAAGGACCATTTATAGACGGCTCATAGAAAGGGGGACTGTAACTGAACTGTCACTGAAACTGTAAACACACTGTATACATCATTTCTACCGATTTTCGTCCCATTCGGATAACTCCTTCTTGGTGCGTCTTTTTTTTTTTTTTTTTTTTTTTTTTTTTTTTTTTTTTGTCTAAGAGTGTATAAGCAAAAATCTTCTTTTGGTTCCATATACTTGTGTGAATTAGTGTTTAAACAATATTACAAAATCGAAGTACAGATCTTGATGATCGCTTACGAGCAGGAATGTCGTCATAGTCTCCTAATTATGAAGAAATGACTAGTGAAATGCAATGCTAAATATAACATTGAATTTAAGAGCTACATTTTTCATAAAGAATTTTTATACCAACGAATTGTAAGCCAAAGTATTTGTAAACTTTTACCTGTATTATTTTGTAATTATTTACTTTACAAAAGAATACAATCAATCATTTCTATACAAATAATATTTTTGGAATATTTTTTTGACTATGCCAACCTACAAATTTACTTTGAAAAAATAAATGTGCCCGACTCTCCATTGGCATTCTAGAATGTGCTCTAGGCTGCACTAAGATTGGGCATCCTAGCAGGTATATGATAAAATTGTAAGCACACTACATGCGTTAGGAGAAAATATTTTGTAGATGTTCAGACATTGTATTTGAGACTGAAGATAAGTGAACTGAGAATTCTGCAATACAGAAATTATGTAGTATCCCTTATAAGGTATTTCTCCCGCCTTCTTAGCATGCCTTCGTAGTGTAGTGGTCAGCACGCTCGATGCGAATTCGAGAGGTCTGTGGTTCGAGTCCTCGGCGAGGGCGTTGCTCATTTTTCATCACTCCTATTTTAAAAATAACCTAATGTCTCTACAGGGGCACTCTAACTAAAAAAAAGTGGTGGATGATGATTCTCCACCACCAGGATTTGGCGATTGAGTCCCCTAAAACCGCCCTTTTAAAGGGATAGAATATAAGGTATTTCTCTCGCCTTCTTAGCATGCCTTCGTAGTGTAGTGGTCAGCACGCTCGACGCGAAATCGAGAGGTTCATGGCTCGAGTCCTGGCGAGGGCATTGCTCATTTTCTACATCTCCTGCTTCCAAAAAATCCTTATGACCCTCTACTAAATTTCTGGCAAATTTCATGACGCATAATTTCTAAATTATTCATAATTATGAACACAGGTAGGTAGTTAATTTTTAGACTAAAAATGTTTTGAATGTGCTAAATAAATTTGAAATTTTATTACCTTTTCCTTTTCTTCTCTGTCCCAGGGAGAGGCACTGAAGACAGAACCTTTTTCTTTCCTTTTTTGAAATTCATCTTTCATCCTGTTGTTCAAAATTACAAAATGTTAGCTCACAATGAAACGTAAACCTCTTCTTAAGAACATTTCACTAGTAGACAGATTTTCACAAAGTAGATAAGTTATAGTAAAAAAACTGAACAAAATTTATAAAAATCCAAATTTGGTGCCTTTAATTAAATATTCGAAAATGTATAACTAGATTTTGTAAGGTCTTAATGAAACATATAGTATCATATATTATACTGATTGAAAGAGATTTTATTTAATTCGTTACTCAAAAACAGCATGAACGAAATCAATGAGTTTCAGTGTATAACATTCACAGTACAACAAAAGTCACAGTGAACACCTTCGGTTCATACTCCATCTAGCAATAAGGATGACTAGTGCAACTTTTGCAGATAATTATGTGATTTTCTCCTTCAGGTGGTCAAGATTATTAGTTCTTTCATTGTAAATATGACTTTTCAGAAAGCTTCTCAGAATGAAGTTTACCGGTGTTCAGGGAAGAGATCCAGTTCTGCCAATTCATCAATGATTCATCTGGAAATCAATGATGGAATCAGCATGTCAATCGCAAAGTATGATGAAATGGACTGAAAATATTTTTATTTAATTCAGCGTGTATATGTTTTATTATATACACCAATAGCTGATAAAATTCGTACTTGTCTACATCACTTTTTAGAATCATATACGAGAAAAGTTAAATCGTCGATTTCTAGGACTGTGAAAGGTCAGAACATGGATTTATTGAATGGCCTGTAAAAGGGTTTTACCTTACTCTACTAGACTTCTTCTTTTACAGCACTGCAACTATTTTAAGGATTTGGTCTAAAAGTTCTAACATTTCAACTTTACGTCAAGTCGATATAAGAACCACCAGTCGCAGCGAAGCAAACATCTGTCGATGGTTTCGTTCAGTGGCACATTTAAGCGTGTGCAACTTTCCCTTCCCTGATGGGCTATGGCTTAAACCCTGCTACACAGGTGCGAATGGACTTAATGACTTTTATGCCTTAAACCACAAAGATTTATGGCAACAAAACCGTCGTCAGAAGGAAGCCTAACGTGAAAGAACTAATGATCTTGGCCCTGAAGGACAGAATCACAGAAACAACTTCAAATGTTACGTCAGATATTTTTGCCAGAGTATTTGCCAAGATGAACGCTGATATGACGTCTGTCGTGCTGCAGAGGGTACAAATATCAAATTTAATAGTTTTATTCGTGAACTGTTCGAGGAACTGAACATATAGACTAGAGATCGCATGAAATTTCACCATTCAACTTCTTGGAGACTTTGGGAAAGATGAATTACCTTTCCCAAGATGTATCATCTTTCTGCTGTCTACGTCGAGATGATACTGAAGAAGATGCATCGCTACACAGACTCGTCATGGAGGCAGACAGCAAAGACTTATCTATTCTCTGGGATCCGCTGGAAGATTTTATGAAACCTAAAAAGAGAAATTAGCCCTTGAAAAGTTAATTCATAAATACAATAAATTTGGGAAAAACTATTTCACATGAATTAGCTTCAAAATTCTTTTTTTTTTTTGTTTTTTTTGTTACATATATTCTATTCTGAATACACTGATATATTCGTTCATGGTTGATTGGTTAGTTAACTAATTTCAGTAAGTATAGCAGAGCTGTTTGTCTTAAAGAAAGATGTCTTAAAGAAAGATGCCTTCGGATTTTCTGATGCAAGCCAGCTATTATTCATGTTATATATACGAGAAACATAACGAAAGTTCCATGCAACCAATTCATTTGCCAGAAATTGAATCCCGAATGAATATTGGTGGGCAAATGGGTAAACTCGGTTAGGCATGGTACATTTTAGCTAACAGATTTACACTTAACTCAAAACCTCTAACAGATATAAAGGAATTATCGCTATGTCTGAAGTAAATACAAAACTCGCGGAAAGGTTTTAATAATCTATTTCATTTGAACAGAATTTAGACCATAAATACACTTTCTTGTGTTAACAATATCAGCCACATCTCGTGGTGATGCAACTAAAAGAACAGTCACATTCAAGTTTAAACCTGGAATGGTAGTCCAGGACTACATAATTTAAACATAAATTAAGCTGGCTTAGTAATTTTACCGTGAGCATCAAATGAAGGTGTTGGCCGCTAAGTAATTCAATAATTATAACTTTAATTTAAAGTCTCAGTGAATTCATTACAACAAAACATGTTAACGTTTTCTAGTTGATTAATTTGGTTTAAAACTTCAAAATACTTTTCCTTTGATAAGTTCTCTTTGAAGCTTTAAACAGAGGAGATTAAGAAAATTTTTAATACTCTAATTTTCCCATTTATCTAGTAGTAAGGTATTTAGTTTATCACTTGCCTTTTCTTATGTATTTCATTTTTAAAACATGTTTCAGGAAAATGATAGGATACTTTTAAATATTTAAGCTGCTTTTGTTAGGGTTTAAATTCTATACTAATTTGAATTCATTTTTAAAATTTAGCAGCTCATGGCCTTAATTTTATGTCTAATTTGTTCTGTCGTTTTTTAAGCACACTTTCTAACTGCTTTATTATGCATTACGCTGCTTTATTTTACATTACGCCCAAAGGGGCGTTTAAAAAAAAATTAACGTTTTGAGTGTTACCCTTATTTATTAAATTTCATGTTCTTTGCACTTAAACCATAAAATTCAGTTCAACAGCAATGTCTCAAAATAATTTTAAAATGAGCATATCTTTAGAATTTCCGATACACAGTTCCGCGCGCTGGAGATAAAAAGGTTTCGCCCCCCCCCCGTAGCGTGTTGCCATTGCTCGCTTTTAAATCGTTGAGTTTGTTAATCAAAAATTCGTTAAAGTTTTTACAAACTATGAAATCGATAATAAAACAAATCCGAAATTTCAAATTGGATGGCTCTAGGTACCGTCGTTTTATCACAATGAAAGAAACATACATACATTTATGGAGATTATTCATTATTTAATTTCTTCAAATATAATACAGGGCGACTGTATTTGGTGACAACGGTTTGAAAAGTCATACAGCGTTTTAAAGTTTTCAACTCAAAATCGCAAAATGAAAGCAATAGTCCTTCAGGAAAAAAGCCCCTTTGGACTAATAAATTTCTTATGCTTTACTGATACGTACAGATTGCTTTTAAATCGCTGAATTTTAATCAGAAGTTCATTAAATTTTCTCAAAATACGAAATAAATCAAACACAAATTCGACGTTCAAATTTTGGGTTTCCTGGCGCACATTTCGGTGGAGGATTGCGTGTGTTTAAAATTTAGCGGCCGTTACTTTTCCACAATGCGAGGAACATACGTATATATTTACATACATATATACAAAGTCCTTTATTATTTAGTGATAGAGATTAATCTACAAAAAATTTTTAACGCAGCGTTTTACTTCCTTAAAATTAATTTTAGTTCTTGACAGGTTAAATTTTTAAATAACAATCACAATTGCATTAAATATAAAATAAGAATAATTGACTTAAAACATGTTGAATATGAAAGCAGTTAAAATTCTAGATATCAAAACATCTCGCAAAAAAATCTTAGGAAATCTTAGAATACATACCAACCTGTCTGAAGAAGGAGCGGACAGAAATTTTGCTGCAGCACTTTTAACAATGAACTCTTCACGACAGAACAGCCTTGAAAATCTGCAAATTCTGCGGTATATTTTGATGAGCGTTTATCTTTTCAGCTAACACGCGATTATTTGCGCATTTTTAAGAGCTGATCTAAAGATAATATTCCGCAAAATATTCCTTATCACGATAAACTGCGAATGATGCATGACAGTCGAAGCACATAAAATAAACTTTAGGCATTTCATAAGCCTTTTTTGGCTAGAAGCACAAAACTTCTAACTCAAAAATGGGGCCCGGTCATGAAAACCATGCTTAAGCTATCCTGATATGATTCAGAATTATTCTGACGTTATATAATGATCTTTCATTAGCGCCTCAGTAGTGATAATGCAAGGGAAAACTAGACATGAGTTTTTTTTTTGGCTTAAAATGTTTTAAAGACATATCTTTTTTGGGGTTAAATTCTTGTTACGATTCTCGCAGTTTTCGCTGTTACAAAAGAAATACTTTAAGCTAAATTTTGCATTCAAACGCAATCTATTATTACAGAAGTATGTCTAAAACTGTTAACTGCTAATGTTCCGAATTGAAATATTTCATTATTTCAATATAACAAATATATTCAGAACTTTTCTTTGTAATAAAATACAAATTGCTAATCTATAACCAAGCGGGTGAAACAGCTAAACCCTCATAATTCGCTGATGCTAAGGCTTTCGTGTTATTCTCCTTTGTAACACAGAATAAGGATCGTCGGTGCAATGTCTTACCATATGAAGGCACTGCTCCGACAGATTTCATTCAACGGTCGAGCAACAAAGTCTCTGAACAAGGGTAATTCGACCAGGGTTCAAATCCCGGCGAACGGACTAGCCGCATGTTCGTTTTCGTGTAAAGTGGATTCGAGCCTGTTTTCCTTAGAAAGTCCTCTACGAAGACATCCCTCTGCTTAGACAGAAAATCCTCGCGTGCTTTGCTACAGTCTGAAAAATCAAACCAAACACCTTCGTTCTCAAAAGTAGACAGTTTTTTGTTGTCCAGGCATATGACATCGCAACAAATAAATATCAAGGACAATCTTTCAGTAATGTAGCATAAAATAATATCAAATTCCTAACAGACTTGGATAGAATTATCGCTTGATCCGAAGTAACTACAGAGTCTTGAAAAGTCAGTTTCAAAAGTTGAACTTAATAGTCAAGGGCTATACAATTAATCTGACGCGAAATTGGATCAAAACTTCTCACCGGAGCAACACTTTAAATGTCCGCAGCAATAACACAAAGCTGAAGAATCACTCACCATTTTATCAGAGCTGGCGAAATCTAGTAACGTGGCCTCGAGAGGCAGAAACTTGCTCTGTCTTACAATTGCTCTGTCTCTGTCCTACGGCTTAAATACTTTCTGATTTGCATTCTGGTGAGGAAACGGAAAGAAGAAGGGATAGTAAAAGTGAAATTATAAGTAATTAGTTAATTAAAAAAATAATAATTCTACAACTACAAATATATATGATAAATTTTTAGTGTTTCTTATAGTTTTTCTGAAGTTTCCAAAGCACAGGAATGCAGTTTAAAACTCAGGTTTAGAGATTTCTGTAACGAAATCTGATCTCAAACCGGTGACCATGTCACTCTTAATTTACTGAATGGCAGTAATTTCGTCATAAATCCTTTTTTGCCCCACTTACTATGTTTCTCTTTGTCTATCTTAGTCTATAATAGGAGTTAAAACATGATTTTTCGACCATTTAATACATTTCTTTATCTCCATCTTAGTCTATAATAGAATGTAAACATAATTTTTCCACCACTTAATGTATTTGTTTATCTCAGCTATAATAGTAATGTAAACATGATATTTTCTCCCACTTAATATATTTATTCATCTCCATCTTAGTCCATAACAGGAATGTAACCGTGATTTTTCCCCCACTTAATATATTTTTTTATCTCCATGTTAGTCTATAATAGGAATGTAAACATGATTTTCCCCCCTTGCATTTTTGGATAATCCAGCGTTTAATGTCATTTTTTAATTTCTTTTTAATATTTACGATCTGCTTTCGAAACTAGAACTGCATGACCAAATTTGGTTTCAATAACTTCACATTTCCCTAAATTCATGATTACATTTTAAAGACACACGCATGAAAATACTAAAAGGCAAATTTAAGATAATCACAAATGACTAAAAATCTAATTATACCTCACTGCTGATCAATGTTCTGAAATTATTTCACAGTAATTAGTGATCAGATTTTTAAGCAGAGCAAGCCAATGGGCGTTTATCACATAATGTTACCCATCTGAATAAATAACTCTATCAGCAACTTTTAAAAAGGAGGTTGTAAGGTTTATCCTAAGTTTTTAACAGTTATCTTTAGTTAAAGCTACTTTCCTCTCTCTCCTAAATTCAGCTTACAATTTCCTACCAGAAAGTGTTTTTAGAATCGCGGTTAATGAAAATGAGGAAGAGCGGTATTTAAGTCGAAGTTCCACTGACTTCGGTAGAATACGAACTGCGCGAAATTTAATTGAAAACCTCCTTCTTATCTAATCCACGAACTGCGCGACGTTTTCCTGTCCCCTCTTTCTAAGGGTGCTACAAAAAGTCATTTATCGCCATTAATGGGACATTTATTGAGATTACAAGTCTCTATTTCGTTTATTAGATATTGTAAAAATTGTGCATACAAAATAAATATTAATTTAAAATCTGAAGTGTGCTAAAGTAAAAATGAAGTTCTTTTACATTCATTTTAAAGTTTTATGATTCTTAAAAGAATAATGAGCCAAATCTTTTTTATTCTCTATAAGAATTTAAAACTTTCCAAGTTGTAGATTTTAGCTGCTTATATAAACTGTATATATAGCTATATATATTAGCTGCTTATAATATGATAAAATTCACAGATTAATGACGTACATAAAACTGATACATACTCAACCTATCAAATATCAGATTTGTAGCACACCTTCAATACGTTTTCTTTGTCTAGATAAACATTAACAAATCTTCTTAGATAGCAGAATGGTTTTAACTTTCAAATTTACCATTTTAGGTAAGCAGTTCTAATTTAATTAAAAAAAAATTCACTTTATCAAATCTAAAAATAGGATTTCTAAGTGGTTCTAAATTCACACTAATATTATTGCAATTAAGCCTTTTTAATATTATTGCCTTTTTAAGTTTTCCATTTTTAATCATTGAAGTTGTTTTAAAGTTATTTAACTTTCTTACAAATTCCATATTTTAATATTAGAAACGTTTAAATATTTATTCTGTTTTCCAGTTACTCTACTGATCTACTTTGCCATACATTTAATTTCTAATACACATTTAATTAATAAATTGATAATTATGAGCATCTGCAGAATTTTCATAATTAACAGAAAAAATTCGAACTCCCATATATTCATATCTTGGAATTTTCAGTTCCTTTTAATACATTCCTTTTTAACATATTGTTGCATAGTATTTAAGTTTTCATGTATGTAGAATTTATATATTTTGTATTTTATTTATGCCAGTTTATATTTAAATGATAATTTTTATAAATTCTTGCATCATAACTCGAGTTAACAAAAGATGTTTCTAACACCTTAACTCGATTATTAATTGATTGGAGATTAACTCGGTTTTCTGTGATGGATACCTCGGTGCAAATTATATGTAACTTTATCCAAAAGCATAGAGTTTATATGGATATCAATAAATTAAGGATTATTTCTCCATCTAATTTTCTTAACATGTTTATTCCAGAATTTTCTTATCACACTGCAGCGCTTAACTTATGAGTTTTCTATAATCATTCAATTTCTCTAGCTATAGCAACCATGGAAGTAAGAAAGGTAAGAAAAGCTAACTTCCTACCTCCATGATAGCAACTATGCATACCTTCTGACAAGGAGTCATATTTTTAACCACTATATTTTAATTCCTGTTGACTACAGTATGTTATTCACTTGCCCAAAAGTGCAACTTTTATTTTACCTCTAAGTAAAATATACGTAAATATACGTAAATCTACGCAAATCTACGTAAAATAGCAATAAAACTTCAGTTATGCGGAACTCCTGACCGACTGCTTGTTTTAGATTGAATGAAATTAAGCTTAATGTTTCTGTTAATTAGCGTGTTTTTAATTTAGTTATACGTTTCTAATTAATTATATATTCAGATATTTCCAAGTATATTACACAAACTTTTGCATCCCAATTTCTAGTTTTTGTTTAAAAAAATAAGCTTTTATTTATTGAGAGGACTGATTGATTATATTAATTTGCAGTATTGTTTACCTAATTCTTTTCTTCTAGATAAATTTTAGAAAAGTTTTCTTAGCATAATAATTTAAATTTATACGTCAGTGTTCCAAACGCATAATAATAATGTTATAACAGATTTCATGCTAAGTTTTTTTTTTAATGTAACTGTTAATTTCTACAAACATTTGCATGATTACTTTAATTAACAAAAAATACTTCTAGCACACTTTAACACACTGAGTTACCGAATAATCTTTTGCCCGCCAGTGAACTATATTAAATTTTCCAGTCTAGTTCAGACATCTTGACTCTTATTAATGTGATTTATAAAAAATACAATTGGTATGCTTTATAGTTATTTAATTTATGATATTATTATAATACTCTTTTCTCTAATATTGCAATTAATGAAAGATGTTTGTAATGCTAATATGTATGTTTTACTAATACCTTTTATTTGCTCCTCTTGGCTACAATTGGTTTCGAAAAGTAAAACTGTAATCCTGTAGTTCCTCGGCAGAAAATGGGCGAAGAAATTTTGATTCGCGCAGTTGGAGTATACCCACTGACTTCATTGGAGAGCCAAAAATTCTGACTGGCACGCGTTTGTCATTTGGCTATACTCTCTTTAAGCTATTACTACGCTCGGCCGTATTTCAGGCCCTTGATAGCTTCGCCAGTTTAGTTGATATTTAGGGGTCAACTACTTAGAATTTTGATAGCTTCGGCTATATCTTTTTAGTTAAGTATTAGTTAAGTTTTATTTCTTAGTACTCTTGATTTCAAGCCCTTGATTTCAAGCTCTTGATTACTGCTTTATTGGCGTATGTAGGTTATCTTCTTTATTGGCATATACACTTATTATTGCTTTCATTGCTTTTTTCGCTGCGGGTGATCTGCAGTGATGCCACTGTCATCGATTGAAGAATAAAACCGCTTAATACTGGTAGCCTGATCTGGGTTTAAATCCTGGCCAATGAGCATGGCAGTTTTCGTAGCTTTTCTACGTATAAGGTAAATAAGTGCCAGTTTTCTTAAAAGGTTCTCTACGGAGGCATCGCTTTCCTTAAGCAGATAGTCCTTGAGCGATTTGCCATAATTTAAATAATCCAGTCCTGAGGTGTGCATTGCATTCAGTCACTGACCAGCATACATTGATCGACACGTGATATACGTATTGCTTGTATCACGTGAAACTGATAGCAGTATGAGACATCTGTTTGTAGTATAATCATTTTTAGACTATATTCTGCTCATATTTTTCAAAGATTAATTTTTTTTTTCCGTTCTACTTAGCTTTTCATACTATCCATTAGTTAACATATATTGCAAAAAAATTATATAACTTTTTGCTTAAAGGTTCGTGAAAATGTAAACATTAATTGAAAATAAATATATTACTAATTATAAGCAATGAATATAAATGAATAAACACCATAAATTAATAGATACATGCATATTAAGTTCCCGTGTGTTGCTTTTAATTCATTATTTTATATCTTCTTACCCAGAAAGAATTAATAATTTAGCAGCTCGATAGCTCTGAAATTTCGGCGAACTGTGAAATAATGCTGCATCTCCACATATTGTTGTTTCGTTAATATCTTTTACACTGCCTAATATAATCATCAGGGTTTCTTGCTGCTGCAGACATGAAAAATGAGCGAAGCTCTCTCCGGAAATCGAACTCTGGACATCTCAAACACGCATCAAGTATACATTCAATTACACCACGAAAGCATGCGGAAAGGAGCGAAAAAATACATTATAGCCCATTTATAGTGATACAACATCTAATAATTTACCTGATCTTTTAGAGAAGCAGATAATACTTTTCCTTTTAAAGTGAATATTTAAAGTTGGAAGATCCTCTTTATTGGTATATAAATCCATCTATATTCATGTTATTAATTTATCAATAACTACTTAAAAATTTCATTATTTTATAAATAAATAACTTACCATCATTCATCTTTCTGTGATCTGTTAAACTCTCCGATTTGCTGGACTGTCGGCAAAAGTCTCGAACAGAGCTTGATGATGAATCATAACCTGATCTTAAAGGCAATGATGAGGAATCTATGCCATGGGGTGAAGTGTGTGGCAAGTTATGAGAGGATAATTCATTTATCACACACTGGTAAGCAGGTACTGTAGTCAACTGAGTACCCGAAGCGATCAAGCCATTTGCAAAGCGTGGCAAGCGAGGAGTTGGCTTCACGACATCTTTAGAATAAGAATTTACTTGTCCATTCCATCCCCTCGTTTCAGTTACCATAATCATTTCTGATGGCTGTGGGAGTGTCGGTCGCGGTTTCTGCGCGACAGGAGGAGGAAGTTGATGATTATTACGATCTGTTTCTTGATTTCTGCTCGTACGAGAGTTCGACACATCAGCAAAATTAGCGGGGGTCTGGTGACACCCTTGCTGATTGTGCGCCTGAATCGACTGGTTGAAATTATACAGAGTATTACCTACAAGGTGATTAGCATAAACTGGACTATTACTATCAAGTGAATTTTCTTGGACTCCTCTTAAACTATTTTTAGAACATGGGCGAGATGGATGTTGCTTTTCGTAAAGCAAACCATTAGGCATTGTTGAGATTCTCTGTTGCTCTGACAAGTGGTCATTTTTTGCACTGTTCACTGGTTGAAAAGAAGTCTGGTGATTAGCATAAATAACACCATCATCATTGATTAATTGGTGCTTTCTAGATTCGGAAGGTGCAGAATTTTTACCTAAACTAAGATCAGAACAGATTGCGTTATGGTTCCCATACAACTGTCCGTGTTCATTATATTGTCCTGAAGATATTTCTGGATGTCGACGACTTCGACGATCAAGAGAATTAATTGATTCTGCCGGTCTTGAGCAAGCCAAGAGTTGCTGATTTTTAAAAGTACCTGTGCTATTACAACAAGAAGAAGAATTTTGTTGACGACCGACGGATGGCGAAGGCTGCGAACGAGGACCTGAATTTGACGGCAATTCTTTTCTTACATCATTGTTGCACTGCTGCACACCATTAAGCATCTTAGGTGATACTTGTGGTATACGATAAGGTATAGCCAAGTGATCAGAGATAACAGGTTGACTGTTTACATATGAATTTGTATCAACAAAAATCTGCTGGGACATATCTCCATGCGACGATACTCTATGATGTTGCCTCTCATAATCATTTGGACCTGGACTATAATTCCTTTCTTGGTGTCGATTATAAGAAGACATTTCGCTTCGCTTTAGTGTTTCAACATCTGGGTAAGTACCAAGGGGTCCTGTTCGAAGCATAACTACAGGAGCTGGCATGGGACGGGATTCATATCCTTGGCTGAGAGGACGAGGACACAGTTTTCCACTTTTTGAGTACCTTGGTTCATAATTCGATGATCCGTTTGCAGATGACTTAGAAGATGGAGGATAACCATTGGAAACAGTTGGCGATCCACTAATTGCCATAGGATAACAGCGTCTTAGTAATCCATTGGCATCGCTGAAAAAAAAAAAAAAAAAAAAAAAAAAAAAAAGAATTTTGTTTAAAATTTTTTGATAAACAAAATGTTGTATACGTTTATTTTAAATCAGAGATGAACAAAACTTAACTAAGCTATAATATCTTCTAACAATTTATAAATTACACATGAAAAAATAATACACGTGAGAGCTTCCCCAAAATTACCTTTTTTCTAGTAAGGTAATTTTTGAAAACAGATCCCATGAAAGAGAATTGAAGAATAAAAGTGTAAACCCACAAGGTGAGACAGCAAATTTTTCTTTTTTTTTATATTTTGGAAGTATTACAAAAATTAATGGATATCGAACGCTTTAATACCTATCCCGAGACTTAATCCTACGCATATCACTTGATTAATGATTTAATGATTTAATTAGTTTCTAATAGAATATGAAAATGAAAATATTAAATTAATCTAATTCTAATACATTGCTAGGCATTAAAATTTTACTGATTATGATCTATTAGTTTTATCCAGTTCTAGGTTAGTGCTCTAAGGTTTCAGTCCTGAATATGACGTGAAGGAATATGTAATAATAACTAATATGAAGGCAAATCTCTGCACGTCATATTGACGGGTGCAAATAGGCTGAATTGATTATGAGAAAGCAAGCGAAAGCTATCTTTTTAAAGACAGGAATCTTTGTAAAGAGAAGGAAAGCTGATTCGTATTCACTGCGAAAACTATGAAGACGCCCATAGGCATCAGTTTGGATTCTAGTTTAAATCTCCAGCTATAATCTGCGATTAAAATCATAGGCTGCGTATCTAGTTTTTTAATAAAATGAAAAACATTGAAAATTTTACTGACTATACAAGTTCGATGTGTAGCTTTTAGAAGATTCCTAGCTTTTAGAAGCTCGGAAGAGAATGCGACAACTCAGAAAATCACATTTATAGGCACAAGTAGGTTGATAGGTAGATGATTAAAGGAAAGTACATGAGGTCTGTCTTCTAGACGACAGGATCCTTCAAGAAGAAATTTTTGATGAAAAATGGATTCATAAATAATGTTATACATTGCAAAAATCATGGAAACGATATAGAAATGATCTATGACCTGGGATCCGACCCTTGATCGAATACCAATATTCAGCTGTCACTACTCGGCCACAGCACCTGAAGCAGACCCACGTGAGGCAAGAGAACCTTGATACAATAGCGGATACCGGTGACTGAACCGCCTTGGCAGATGTGGAGGTCAGTAAGGCTACCAAGCATCATACCACCCCAAACGAGAACTCTGGAACCATGAAAACGATTCCTTTCAGTAATATTGGAGGGGTGATTGTGTGTTCCCTTTTCTCATCAGATATGTATATATCTAAAATCTCTCGTCAGACTGAATCGGATCTCATCAGCACTGGACTTCACTCCTGTTGTGTTCAGTTTTTGTGTTCCCGCCACCACAGAAACTACCGCCTTACATGAGCAAGAGTTAACGGCACATACCATACTGGTCGTCGTGCATATAGATCACATTTGTGCAGCTAACTGGATCTTTAAAAATGTGATATCGGAAGTTCAGCAGGCCGTTGCATGCGCCTTACGATATATCTCGCTGTCTGCCGCCTGCAGAATAATATATCGGTCGTCTACAGCTATTGTTGCTCGTGCACGACCATTGCTGAAAGCTCGAAAAGCTGTTCCTGCCGTTTGAAATGCTTTCCAGGCTCGTGAAACAAAGCTGTGAGCGATACCGTACTTCTCCGCTACACTTGTCACATTTAGAGATTCTTCTGCCTTTCTAATGACTTTTGATAAAATTCATCATTTTAACCGTATAATATCACCGCTAATAAATTTCGGGGATCACTTTCTCTTCTGTCAACGTTTAGTACACGTAATTTCACTGCGTGACCAACTTTACCAGAAGCTAATTTAAAATTTGAAACTCAAGTTTTTTTTTCTTTTTGCCCTGTGATTTTAAACCTTCTTTAGCATTTATTCTGTGTTTCCTTATTTGTCCTTGCTGCTTAAAATATTTGTCTGGATTAAAGGGACTGCTGCTCCATCTTCCTTTTGAGTCTCAAAATTAACTTCAGGTAGAGGATAATTTTGTGATGGATCGTTATTGCCTCACCAGAACCATTTTCTATTTCGCTATTCGCGTTTTCGAAAGCTTTATTAACTGTCTCGATTAATGTCTGAAGCTTTTTTTCGGTTCCAAGATGTTCGGTACAGTCGCTCGGGAAAGGTGTTTTCAGACCTACTTTGTACAGGCGTCCCAAACATTACTTCGCAAGGAATACACGGAATACTTTCATGAAATGCCTAATTTTCTGTACAGGGCTTAACCATTCGGACCATTTACTGGTTTAATTACTATCCAACAAAGAATTTAGCAGTTTTTCTATATCCTACATTGCACGCTCAACCGAACCTTGAAGATGGCTGTTTGTAGGTTTCTTTTCTGCATAATTTTCAGAGCGGCCACATTGCCCAAGCTTCTTCTACGATGTGGTTATTGAATTCACAGCCATTGTCACTTACACTGGGGGGGGGAGGTTCCAAATATAGTAAAAATTTCAATTAGGTGATACGCAAACTATTTTGCACGTTTGGTTTTTAGGTCACGCAATTGTATGAAATTCATCAAGTGGTCTTGATAGACAAATTTAAGCTGATAGACAAATATAAATATAATAGACAAGCCATTATTTGGTTGCGACTGCATTTCAGTTATGACAATCTGGCATCTTGCATTCATCTCTTGAAACAACAGTGGCCTAACAACAAGTTCTTTCTTGGGTACCTTTGATTTTTTTTTTTGATAACTTTCACATTAATTTAAATAAATCCTCATTTCGTCAGTAGTAATATTTGTTTACTTTTTTTAAAGTTCCTTTAACATTCTGTTTCTACCACCATCATCTATTCATAAGTGCACCTCATGAATTATAGCATAAAATTCTTCAACCGTTCAAAAGTTCTTCAACGTACAACGTAAAATCTAACATTGCAACTGTCTTTACTTTCGGGAAAAGTAAGTTTTTCCACATTGCCTATTTACATTACGTCGGATCGTTTTGGCCTCTGATAATCTTCCATTCCCCCCCCCAACACACACTATTTTTGTTTTCACTATTATTCACTTTTTTTTAACACGTCGTCATATCTTTCTATCCTCAGAAAACCAATGTTTGCATTTTTAGTGTCCATGTAATGGACTTGGAATTAACTAACTTGGAATTAAAATGGTCAAGCATACCAGCCATTATTCAATATTTTATAATCCACTAGCGGCCAAGCGGTAGAGTCGCTAAACGCTGGTTGTTCGGCCCGGGATTCGAATCCCGGCGAAAGTGCTAACAGCATGGGCACTTTCGTGGTTTTCTTCATTTGTAATACGTATGCGAGCCAGTTTCGCTCAGAAAGCCTTCTATGAAAGCTTCCCTGCCCCTAGATAGATAGCCCTTGGGTGCTTTGCCATAATCATATAAACTAAGCTAAACTAAGCCAATCAATATTTAATGAAATACGATAGAGGTAAAGAGGGTCAAAGAAAAAAATCTAGCCGCACACACACACACACACACACACACAAACAAAAAAAAAAAAAAAAAAAAAAGGAGAGAGGTGTGTAGCTTAAAAAAAGAGTGGGATTGGCAAGAACTGTTTTATTGCTGTCATCGTACACACTTCCTCTATCCATGCGGCCAGTTTCAACTCAACCGATCACGCCAGTTGGGAGTACTGCTACATTGAGTGAACACGTGCAACTGCATTCTACCGAAAAACTGACTAATGTAAAATCCGAACGGCGAATCAATATCAAATTTATTGTGAAACTTAAGAAATCAGCAACGGAAACATTTCAAATGTTAACCGAGGCTTATGGAGATGAAACATTATCTCGTGCACGTGTGTTTGAATGACATAAGGGACAGTGTGGAAGATGATAAACGTGCAGGGCGCCCAAGGTCAGCGATTACTGACCCAAACATTGCCAAAGTTCGTAATGTGATCCGGGGTGATCGAAGATTAAGAGTTCGTGTAGTAGCGGAGTTGGTTAACTTGGACAGGGAAGCTGTTCGATGCATTTTAACTGACGAATTACATATAAGGAAGATTTGTGCGAATGATTGTTCCAAAAGTTCTGTCCCATGACCAAAAACAGTGCCGTAAAGACGTGTGTGTGGGCATTTTAGAACGCTTTGCAAACGAGCCAAATTTGTTAGAATCTGTGGTAACATGTGATGAGACATGGATTTTTACCTAGGACCCAGAAAATAAGCGCTAGTCGATGCAGTGGAAGTCTCCAGGAACCCCAAGACCCCCAAAAGCAGACGTGTCAGAATCAAAATTCAAGGCAATGTTAATTGTCTTCTTCGACATTAAAGACTGAGTGAGTTCCCAGTGGTCAAACTGTTAATAAACATTACTACATTGAAGTGCAAAAAGACTTCGTAAAAAAATTAGGAAAAAAGACCATAGTTGTGGAGTGATGGACGGCTGTTGCACCAGGACAATGCACACGCTCATGCGGCCCTATTTGTCAAGCAGTTTCTGACCAGCAAAAACATAATGGTGATATAGCATCCTCCTTATTCACCTTCATGCGACTTTTTTATTTCCTACAGTTAAATCTTGCTTAAAGGGAAGCCATTTTACCTTAGTTGAAGAGGTTCAGGCAAAAACGAAAAATCTCCTTTCTTTAGAAAAAGCTTAGGGGGGAGTTCTCAACTGATTGAGAACCCCTGATATAGATTGTCTGTGTAGTATTTTATAGATTTTAATGAAGGGACTTGTGGCCTATTAATCTTCATCCTCGCGATAAGAATGTGTAAGATGGCAAAATATTGGCAGTACGTCCCGAATTCAATTTCCAGCCAAAAAAGGCTAGCTGCATGGAGTTTCCGTTTTATACTGATGAAATGAGAGGGATGTTTCTCGATCTGGCTCAACTTGGTACAGAATTAGCGATTTCTTCCCCTTTAAGAATAAAATGGGAATAAAACTTCCAAGACTGGATGAGGAACGGCCAGGGACAGCACCAAACCAGAGAATATATATGTATAAATCAAACGGATGGGTTAATATTGACGATAATATTAGCATTGCATACGTGATATTCCAGCCTACTTAAAGATGTTTTGAGCCCACCAACGGCTAAAAGGTCACTGAATACTAGTAGTTCGACTTGGGTTCGATTTCAGGCAGATGTGCTGGTTGTGTGGACGTTTTCGTGGTTTTCTGCGTGTGTACCGTGGATAAGAGTCAGTTTCTGTTAGAAAATCCAGCACAAAATCATCCCTTGGCTTAAAAAAATAACCCTCATGTTTTACCATAATAAACCAAACCAAACCGAAGATACCTTGCGCATTAATGTATCTGCTTTAAGGCGAACTCATTTCTATACCTTTCTATTATGCGACAAGTTGCCGCCGAGTTATGCACATGCGCTGCTGCCAGCTGTCTGATAGGATAATCAACAATCTGCACATTCAAACATATAATGGTCTGGATCGTCGCATGTTTAATGATGTTTTTCGCGATGCCCGAATATGTGGTGATATGTTATGAATGGTCAATGTCCTGTGAGGAAATGTGTAATTCTGTGTAACTGTTATTAGTTAGCTTATTTTGATGTTTTAACCTTTCGATGAAATGGCTACTGTTATACACAAATCATTAAAAATTATAGAGGACAAAGCGATAAAAGTTATTTCATTATAGATGAACACCAATGGTTCATAGAATTTTGAATAAACAAGTTTTATTTTGTAGAATGCCATATTTTATTGAAGTACTCGGCTCAATTCAGAATATTTAATTAAAATTTTTAAGACAACGGTTCCCACCTCATTTTCAAGGTGTACGTTGCGAGCAGTTCGAACTTTCTGTAAAAAGCTACCTGGTTGATACTTCCAGTAGCCATATAGTCTCAAAGATTAAGCCATGCATATTTAAGGACGTGCCGTATTAAGAAGAAACACCGAATGGCTCATTATGTCAATTATGGTTCTTTGGATCATAACTTACTAGGATAACTGTAGTAATTCTGAAGCTAATATATGCAGCAGAGCTCCAGATTTCGTGGCACGAGCGCTTAATGCAGCTCTCTTCAGAATGAATGTATCGTTTTTTTCTATAGCAGAATGTTTAAGAGAACTAAAATAAGTACTGGAAATGGTAGATAAACATCGTCGTAAGTTATGTAACCGCCTTCCCAACTGCAAAGGAAATAAAGTAATCTGCTGGCATCGAAATTCCAGGTAGCAGTATATAAATGACCAAAAATGCAAAGGTGTTAAACAGCGTAGTGAAACGTCCAACATTGTTAAATGTTGGAACTTAGTATTCAGACTCTTTTATGTAAGGTTCTTTTTTTTTACAGCATTTATTGAAAATTTCTGCACGCTGGCCGTTCATCCTGACATCTTCGATCGCTGGACAACATGAGCACAGGGTAATTTCATCATTTGGCAACATATGAAAGAAGGTTCATTTATGAATGATCTTTTAGGATCACTTTATCAAATAATAATTGTTGTTGACTAATACTCACTTGTCTGACCTATAGTCAGCCCAAGCCCACGAAATTTTTCGTGGCAAGGAACGCAAGGTTAAGCCTGCCGTTGGCAACAGCCTTGAGCACCTTACAGGTGATAGTGCGACTTAGCTCAGTTCCGTTCCCCAATTTTGATGGAGAGCACTCCGGGGGGGCGGGTCCGAGGGTGTCCCACCCCTCTTCCTCTACCATCTACCTCTTGAGAGGACTTTTGGCTCGCCGCATATTTAGAGTGCCCCATGCCGTATAGCCATTATACATTTACAAACATCCATTCCTTCTCCGGAATTCGAAACGGGGCCCTTCGGCACGGCAATCAATGACGCTAACCACTATACTGGCTGAGCGGCTATAATCATTGGGTGACAGCAGCACATTGTAATCGTGTGCTGGCCTGTGGCACGATGAACATGCAGAGCAATATAATTTGTCGACCACGAGAAGAGACTTGATTTCGCCTATTAGGAAGGAGAGCTCACTTCACTGCAGATAACATATTTAAACTTGCAAATGAGTGAATCTGAATTTCATTGTTATAGAGCAGGTGCAATGAGTTTCGGTTTACCCCAAGTGAGATGATGGGATAGTCCGGCACCTCGTGGTATACGCGTGGCCAAGTTTCTTCTCGTGATAGACAGTTTAGAATATTTAATTAAAATTTAACTACTGTAGAATCAGGAAAAAAAATACGTTATTGGAATATAAAATCTTCTTGTACCGTCTGGGCAGGCTGTTAGAGTTTGATACTATTCCGTTCGTCAAAGCGGTTGCAGGCTGTGGCGGACGGCGCCCTGGTACTGGTGGAGGAGGTCTAACATCTGGTCTTCCATGAAGATTTCTGGGTCCTTCGTTTCTTTCTGGATCCTAAATAAATACAGCGACAATTTATACTAGATATCAGAACTTTTCTATAATGTTAATATTACATTTTTAATATACAAGCCTTTGGAAATGCATTAAAAGTCTGTTACTTTTACTGGGAAAAGTAAGTCTCCTTGCAAACGTATAACAATGCACACAGTGAAAATACAATGATCACTTACCTCATAAGGCATTGCCCATTGTTTGACTAGATTATGATAACCGAATGCATGTACTTTGAATTTAATATCATCAGATGATGCAAAATGCTCCGAGACGTTTCGAATCAACAGCAAATTAAGAAAGAATATAGAATCTGGATACCGAGAGAAACAATGACGAAGACTGGAGAATGCCACCTTTCGTTCAATTCCTTTGATTTTTAGTTCAAAAGGGCAAAATTTGCCCTGAAGAACTATTTTGCGTTGAAAACTATAAACGGCGAATCACTTTTCAAATTGATGCCACCAATATTATATTTATATTATATTTAAAGAAATTAAATAATGAAGAAACTGCATGAATGTATGTATATATGTGACAAAGCTACGGTACATAGAGCCATCAAAATTTGAATAACGTAATCTTCCATAGAATATGGGCATGTGTAAGCCCTAATTTGAATTTGAAATTAGTTTTATTATCGATTTCATATTTTGTAACACTTCAACGAATTTTTGAGTAAAAAAAACAAACGATTTCAAAATGATAATAAATAAATAAATAAATAAAAAACTGAAAGGTTTCAGATTTTAAATTACGCCCAAAGGGGCGTTTTTTTAACGTTTTGTGTGTACCTTTATTTATTTAATATCATGTTCTTCGCACTTAAACCATAAAATTCACTTCAATAGCAATATCGCAAAATAATTTTAAAATGAGCCTATCTTTAGAATTTCCGATACACATATCCGCGCGCTGGAAATAAAAAAATCCCCCCCTCATAGAGTGTTGCCATTACTCGCTTTCAAATCGTTGAGTTTGTTACTCAAAAATTCGTTTAATGTTTTACAAAATATGAAATCGATCAAATTCCAAATTTCGTCTTCCACATGCCCATATTCGTAGGAGGGTTAAGGCATTCAGAATTCGATGACTCTATGTACCGTTGTTTTATCACAATGCGAGAAATAGACATACATTTATGTAGATTTTTCATTTTTAATTTCTTCAAATATAATGCAAAACTCTAACATTTGGTGGCAACAGTTTGAAAAGTGAAACGGACATTTATAGTGATCGCAAAATCGCAAAACGAAAACAATAGTCCTTTAGGGACAAAGCCCGTTTGTAATAACAAGCAATGGCAACACTAAAATAAATAAATAAATAAATAAAATTAAATAAAAAAAATTAAATCTCCAGCGCCGGCGAGACTCTGCATCGGAAATTCTAAAGATATGCTCATTTAAAAATTATTTTGCGATATTGCTGTTTAACTGATTTTTATGGTTTGAGTACGTAAAAAATAAAAATTTGTGTGTTAAATGTAACACACAAAACGTTAAAAGAACGCCCCTTTAGGCGTAATTTAAAATCTGAAACCTTTCAGATTTTTTTAAAGTTTTTTTTTTTTTAATTCATTTACAATAGTTCTACTGTGCAGCTGTAAAATGTATTCAGATCATGTTATATAACAAAATAAAATGGCGGCAAAAGAAGCAGATATGAAAGGGAAGTCTTTTAGTCAACGTTTGCAAATACTGGTCCCACAATAAATGTCAGATCAAATTCCTATCTACTAATTACGCTCATGCAGTTATTGTGATTCAGCCTTTGATGTGAACAGAGGTACTAGTTTAAGAAGTGAAGGATTGTTTGATTTCTTTATCTGTGCGTAAAATTATTCGTTTAATTCTTTGCATAATATTCATGCTCAATGTGGATTTCTTAGGTCTTCGAGTGTTTTTTTCCCTAAGAAAATAGCTCTCTCTAAGTTCTTTTTCACAATTAACTACTACAATTAAGAAATCTAACCTAATCTCTCCAAAGAAGGGAGTAGAATTCTTTTCTAGGAATGGGGGGGGGATACAATTAAAATCTACTTTTAAATTTTCTAAAACGTAAGCGACATAACGAAACGTTTTAAACGTAACGAAACGTTTTAAAACGTAAGCGACATAATTTTGAAATTAAAGCTGATGTTAGTCTTATAACTCGAAACTAATTTGTTTGCAGTTTCTTAACTGAAGACAACTAAATAATTATTAAAGAACATAGATCCCCAAATGTAACGAAATGCATCCTTTTAGTCTAAAAGTACATCTATCAGGACTACTATTTCTTCTAATTGCCTTTGCAAACATAATTGGAGTCCTGAGTAGGAACAGGGAGTTTACTTAAAACTATGTTCGTGCAACTGTAGAAGATACGACACACATGGAAAGGGTTTAACTACCCTTTATTTCTCACAGTTTACAGCCGTTCCCGCACTTCGAGATGCAAAAATCAGTACTTATGGTCTGAAACGTGGAAGATAAGAAATTAAACTAACTAATTAAATAAGAACTAAATTCAGATATTTTACAAAGATTAGTAACGCGGGGATTGGCTTTTCAAACTCTACGTATGTAGTGAGCAGAATGCGGGAAACTATAATACGTCTTCAAGTATCAAAGAGAACTAAGTTCTGGCCTCAGAGGCAGACAGGAGCTGACTGAGAAGCGCGCGCGAGGTAAGGTAGCGAGAAGTCTCTCTCCTCTTGGCTATAAGCCACAACTTAAATACTTACAGTTTGCAAGCTCAATTTGCAAAACCAAATCTGTTCGCGTTTATTCTGGCCGGAAATGGAAAATAAGAGAGGATAGCAAAGTTTTAAAATAAAATAAATAGTAAAACTTAAAATCTTTGAACATCCACGAAATTTGTATAATTTTCTTTTTAATCTATATGTTTTTATCCTATCTCTATGCATTTACGATGTGAATTAGGTAGCATAGATGTTATAAGTATATGCTAAGAATGTTAACTTGAGCAATAAGGGAACACACAATTAAAAATAATCTAGTGAATAAATTTGCTTTTCATCTTAGGCTTTATTCCCTTCTTAAATGTGAAGTCTGACATCTTCTAGTCCGTCATCAAGTCTTCATCTGAGTGACAGCTTTGCTTTACCTATGCTAGTACAAAGATCCTTCTCTTTACGACCACGTCTCTAAAACGATACCTTTGAAAATGGCCAGTATTCATGAGACTATGAAGAAATATCGGTATTGAACTTTGCTTCTTTAAGATGATTATCCAAACAGAATATCAAAATCTTCTAAGGAATCGCCTTTCAGAGAATTCACTGCATCTCCTCAAGTTAAACTGTATTAGACATTATTAGTAAAGAAACCGTGACCCGTCAAAATAGCAGAGGACCATCAATTATTTTTAATTTTACGTCCGTTCTTTCACGAACTCTTGGACAGGCAACATAATGTTGACCGTGTCCAAATGCAGACTCAGGTAAAAAATGTCAACACGCTTAAGCGTTTGGCCCTGAGACTTATACATGGTCATAGCAAAGGCAAGTTTTACAGGAAATTGTTTACGTCTCAATTGAAACGGCAACCCCGTGCCGTGGCAACTTCACCCCATTGGCTAGTACAGCTACGCAAGCAACTATCGGCGACAAACAGACACTTAAGCCGCATATAATAAAGATATTTATTTATTTCATTCTTATTTGTTTTTTCATCGTTGCTGGTTTTTGCCGACTGCATATTTCCGAATTCTATTATATATAGATGTTAAATTTATTTGTTAAATGTTAAATGCACGTGCTGTTGTATTTTTAATTTTTCCGGCTTAACTTTCTCATAATATTCGTCACGCGCTGCACTGCACGGGGAATAAAACAATTTACAGTTACGAAGCATCCAATAAACTATCGGCGGCAAACAGACGTCAAATTTATTTATTAAATGTTAAATGCAGGTGCTCTTGCATTTTTTATTTTTTCGGCTTAGCTTTATCATAATAATCGTCACGCGCTGCACTCCACGGGGTATAAAACAATTTACAGTTACGCAAGCAGCCAATAAACTATCGGCGACAAACACTTAAGCCGCTTATATATAAGCTTTATGCAGATTTTTCATTATTTAATTTCTTCAAATATAATGCTGGCCTCTAAGATTTGGTGGCAACAGTTTGAAATGTGAAACGGACATTTATAGTGATTCAACGCAAAATCGCAAAACGAAAACAATCGTTCTTCAGGAACAAAGCCCCTTTGGACTAATCTCTACATATAATATAAGAAAGAGTCTGTCTGTGTGTGTGTCTTTCGTTCGCGCTGCGCGTACGCTAATAGACCGACGGCTACAAAATTTGGTACATAGGTGCATCTAGACAAGAGCCAGTGCACCTCGAAGCGATTTTTTCGAAATTCGAATTTTTTTTTTTATAATATGTTTTGTGACGAAATCGCGTCATTTTTGAGACATAATGGGGCTATAGGAAGGCGAGATTTTACTCTACACACTCCATCTTCACATCGTTATAAAACGTAGGACGAACTTAAAATAAATTTTGTGTTTCAATAAATCGATTAAATACGAATTTATTTAACAAAGGGAGCTTAACACCTTTTCAACGGGATTTTTTCTAAAAAAGTTTATTTTTAAAAATGTACAGTTTGTTTTTCTTTGATTTTTGGACACGTTAAACTTTAATCCTTGCGACTACTTTTAAAAAAGAATTCTGGAAAAATGATAATATTTTGTATTTAAAAAAAATCTTCTTTAATGAAGCTTCCGAGTACACTTCTCACATTTCACATCTTTAAAAATGTGATTTTGGCAACAATTTTCCTGTCTTATTGTTGTTAATAGATTTTTGATGAAATCGCATCATTTTGAATAGTTTCATTCTTTTAGAAATATGGGTTTGGCAACAATTTTTCATCGTATTTCTTATGTCACTATTTTTAAGAGATTGGCATATTTAATTGTCATTTAAATATATATATATATATAATATATCAAGCAAGGTAGTAATTATAATTAAAAAAAAATTTGGTCTAAAAACATCTTGCGCAATATGCTGCAAAATAAGTAAAATATAAAAATTGTAGTAAGCTCGCCTAAAAGTTACCAAGAGCTGCTGCTCCAAAAAGTTTAACACGTTTTAAAAAATTAATACATATGAACTTTTTCGCTACAAATTTTTGTAGCGAAAAAGTTTCAATTGTCTGTTTCGGCGAAACACGTAATGGGGTTAGCTTGATTCGACGTTCAAATAAATGAAATTTCCCTTGAAAAGCCAGTTTGGAAGTCGAATTGGGCTAATTTACCATTTTCCGCTTAACTTTTTATCTGATTCTGTTTTTTTAATGTTTTACATGTCTAATGGTTTGATTTTCATATGTATTAATTTTTTAAAACGTGTTAAACTTTTTGGAGCAGCAGCTCTTGGTAACTTTTAGGCGAGCTTACTACAATATATATATATATATATATTATATATGTGTGTGTGTGTGTGTAAGATAAAATTATATGAATCAGAATTATAATATAACTATAAACATTAATTCTTCCTCTCTATTCTAAAATCGTAATAACTTCTCTGCATTGCGTCATTTCTAGATCACTCTATGGCCCGCGCAGTTCTGATGACATAATAATTGGGAACTGAAATTGCCATTGTAAACCAAAACTTTTCTCTTTGCCGTGCTTCCATCTTTCATAACTACGCACTTCAGCTTTGCTCTCTACGATGCTAAGATGTAATTTCGCTGGCTTGCTTTCTATCTCAACAATATCAAAGATGTAAATCTTCTGTGGAAAGGCACGACTAGAGTGCCAAGTGATTGTGGCCACAAATATCAGTTGCAAATAAAAATGGAATTAAAACTGCCTCGACTGCCAAGTTCTTTAGATATTACCAAGTTAGCATTACTAGCATACTACGCAAACAAAATTTTCATCAAAATGGTCTAATCAAGCATCTAGAGTTGTTCCGTCTTTTCCTTTGCTTTTATTATGACATATATATATAAAAATACAGTTTTATTTTTATTTTTTTTTTTTATTTATTATTTTTTTATTTTTTGATAAAGTTGTTCTGTAGAGTAAAATTTTGCGCGGAATTTGATGTTTTTTGAGTTCTTTCATGTTACTTTTGCTTATTTACTGTTTGTAAGATATTGAAAGGTTCTGCATGATTTTTTTTTCTTCACGGAAAGTTGGTTAATTTTTTATTAGGATAATTAATATTGTATTAAGGGATATAGCTTATTTCATTGTAATTTTTTCTCTTGAAAATATAAGATAAAATATCATTAATTATACTTTGTTTTTCAGAATTTTTTGTTTTGTATTTTTATGTATTATTGCTCATTCAGTGTTTTTTAGATATTGAAAGTTTGAGGATTTTTTTTTTAGGAAACAAAGTTCTTAACCTCCTTTATACCGTTGAGTTCTTAAAAATTTGCAAACGGAAGTTGGTTAATTTATTTATTAGGATAATTAATATTTGTATTAAGGGATATTGCTTATTTCATTGTAATTTTGTTATGCGTAATAACTTTTTTTTTATGAATGCATTCATTCTGTTCTGCAGAGTAAAATTCTACGCAGTTTTTAAATTTAACGTTTGGTGTTTCCTTCAGCCATTTTTTCCGGTACATTTAAAAGCCAGACGAAGACTGGCAGCGAAGCTGCTAGTAATTAAATATTTCAAGGGTTATGGAATGGCGTCAGGATTTTATTCAAAGGCGAGAATGATTGAATGAATATACATTCAGGTACTTTCTAAGTAAGAATGATATTACGACTGATGATTAGAAACTGGTTACTTTTTGCTATTAATTTTACGGACTAAGCACTAGTTGTTACTTTCCAGGCTTGAAATGTTTGTTAAGAATAAATAATTAAATGACAGAAATTCCTTTTAGCGTTAATGTTTTACTTTCCCTTTAAACAAAAATATAAAAATTCTCAAACACGCTGTGAATGGGTTGTCAGTTCATGACTTGATTGTATGTGTTTACTAATGCATATTATATACCCGAAGGAAAAAAGAAAGCCATACTTTTAATCTGATAAGTCATTTTTATTTTTATTGAAAAACTAAAGCTTATTTGTAAAATAAATAAACAAAAAAATCAATAATTTGTATCCAAAATTTTCCTTATTACTTACTATTCTGACGCCTCTGGTGCTGCAGTCAACTGTTAATTTCTCTGTGACTTGCCTTGGGCTTGCATCACCAAGCCGAGTTTGGTCGTTCCCTCTGGGCCCTGCGAACCCTTGAAGGCAAGATTCCGTCTGCTCAAGGCTCCGTTTCGATGAGTACTTCTCCTGATGCACTCTCAGCTGAAGAGGTACATGGTTGGCAGGCTTTGGCGGTGATTCATAATGCAAGCGCATTCTCGAATGATCTTCAGGAGACCAGCTTGAACTACTATTGGATCCACTCGGTTCATATTGGTCATCTGGCCACGGTTTTCGGATTTGCTGATCGCTGGACGAAGTGGGAGGATAGCGTTGAGGAAGAGGCCTAAAAGAAGCAGAAGCCTGGTTAAGTCGGATAAATATTTCTTCACTCCTTCGATTCATTTGCAGTGAAGCGTAAAATTAACCCAAAATAAACGATACTAAACTTTCTTCCAGCTATTGGTAGTATTGGTATGATTATTTTAAGACATCTTCACGGACATTGAGATGTTAATAATATTAGCTCTCTTATATTATATTGTCTTTTTTCTTTGCTTCAAGACATTATGCAGTAAAAAAAAAAAAAAAATGTATTTCAAGGAGTAATATCTTCAGTGTTCCTAGCAGTGCATTTTAAGTAATAATGCATCTGCAGTCCCTGACATTATCCATCAAGGAATAGTCGGTGTTGTGATTCATGATTTCCAAGACTACCTCTAAATGGATAGTTTTTGAAACTGTAAAGCTTATAAAATAGTGATTCATCACCCATCCGGCCCAACAGCGGGCGAGCGGTAAAGACGCTGAACACTGGTAGTTCGGTCCCGAGGTTCGAATCCCGCGAACGGGCTGGCTGCATGGGCGTTTTCGTGGTTTTCCCCACGTGTAACGTGTATACGAGCCAGTTTCCCTTAGAAAGTCCTCCACGAAAGGCATCCCTCCCCTTAGGCAGATAGCCCTAGTGTGCTTTGCCATAATTAAATACACCAACATCACCCATCCGTTAATTCATTTAATTTTAACAGAAAACTCTAAAAAATGAATGAAATGAACTTAAATGAATTTATGGAATTATCCGACACTAATAAACATAGAGCCATGTAAGCATATTTTCTATTAGCGTAAAGTTCATTCTTTGCATACATAAAGAGTTATTTTAAGCAAAGGATCTATAGATTTGTTCTTATTGGTTAATAGCTGCGCGCACTACTAATCTTTTCAAAAGACAATTTCTTATAAGCATTTTCCTTCTTAAATACTAATTCATTTTAAATTAAGACTAAGCATAAGAGATTTAAATAGCTTTGAGATCTTCATGCTATTTAAATCACCGTTAGAAAAATCTCGAAGAACTGAACTCTTTTAGGAATTAACATAAAATTAGAAATATGGAATAGTTTTATTAAAACTACTGAGACACGTTATACTACTAATGACACGTTATTTTTGACAGTTTTTCTTATCTAAATCACACGCTTTTAAACGTAATGTGAAATTCTCTCTCTGCATATATATGAATGAGCAACTGGCTAATTCGTGTTGAGCGCAGTTATGTATAAGGTAAAGAGTTTAAAATTTAAATGCGTTTTTAGTTTTGTTTAGTTGATTATAGCAAAAGCTCACTAAGGCTAACTGGCTAAGGGAAGGGATGGTTTCGTGAAGGACTTTGTATGGAGAACTGGCTCGTATACACACGCGGGGGAAACCACAAAAACGCCCATGCAGCTATTCCCTTCGCCTGGAATCGAACTTGGGTCGTAACTGCCAGTGTTCAGCGATTTTACCGCTCGGCCGTTGGTGGGTCCAAAACGCGCTTTAATTCTGCATCAAAGGCTACGACTTGCTTCAGTGGCAATTAATTAGCTTCTAAATCTGAATTATATCCTTACCAGAGGATAAAAGATATTTGAATGTGGATGTTCATATAGAAGTACTAAGTAAAGAGAAAAAAACACTATTTCTACTGAAGTAAAAAACATTTTTGTGTAAATGTCATGCCAAAGGAAGAAAATGATTATTCATAAGCTCCCTGGGGACAATTATTGAAGCTAAAAAAAGGAATAGTTAATGCTCTGGGTTTCCATTTAAGTAAAGTTAGTTTGAATTAATCTTAAAAAGCTATTAATAAATAATTTGTGTTTTTTATTTCAGAATTTACCTAGAAAAATTTTATTTATCTCTATTTGCATTGCGTGTAAATCTTATGTATAAAGTCGTTAGATTGTATGACAGTATATTTTTCAAGCTATCATTTTTGTCACAGTTATAGAAAGAATGCAAGTATATAAGTGCCAATATACTTTCTAAGCAATCTGAAGGTAAAGCGTTTCTGTAAAACCTTTTGTAAGCCGCAATAGCTAAAATGAAGCAGCAGTTAATATTAATTAATATACGGAAAATTCTGTGGCAGTCTCAAATCTCGAAAGCAACTGAATAAATCTCGCCTAACATATAAAATCTAAACACTTGTATACTTCTTACTTTTAATCATCAACTGAACAACTCGTCCACTATAGGTCTAGGTGCATATCAACCTGAATAGTTCAATCGATTGAATAATGCAACTCTTCGCCTTAAGTGCAGTACATTGCATATACAGTTCATCAATTTAATCATATAATACAGTATATATTTGCCATACAATGCAATTAGTCGAGAAATACAGTACATTAACTATGCTTTGCTTCTTTGCGATATAATTTAACTTGCAAAATAATTCATTAACCTAGAATATAGCATATTAACTTTACAATTAATCTTGATATAACATACCGAATATGCGACCTACAGATGTTATGCCACTTATTATAGTAAATGTCTATGAACGTCATTCACTGTTAACGTTCTTAGTCTGAAATACAAGGCACTGGGATCGTTGGCTGAACATTGTCAATTACTGAGGTAATCTTTGTTTAGCAATTGCACTTCCGACTGCATTATTGGTCCAGTTCATGCAGACCAGTGCTTAAGAACTGGTTTCTGCAGGTGCTGTTGATGAGTGTTGGGAACTCGGCAACGATGCCACTCAAGCTTATAGTAAAAGCAAGAATGGTATGATAATTACACAATTTATATGAAACTCCAAATACTAATGCTGTTATCACATCTATAGACGCGCGCGCTTACCCGGGACAATTTCGAGAAACGAGATTCTAGGAGTACGGCTTTAAGCGGCAGGCTTCCGAGAAATGTTTCGTCTAGCTAGGAGGAACGTGTCCCGGCTACGAGCAACATTTTAAAACTTTTCCCAAAATGTTCCGGCTGGAGACGTGTTCCTCGAACGTTCAACCAATCAGACGAAAGGTCAGCTTCTGAAGGATCACGGGTAACTTTCAATATGGCGATGGCTCTCACTGTGAAGTGATGGACGGTGGAAATAGAGGCCGATTTAATTATTGCTGTTTTGTTGTAATACAACTGCCTGAGTCATTTTTTAAATGTGTATATATTCATTAAATATATAATCGTGGAAATTTCAGAGTTGACAGTATTTTACGACGTTCTTGCAGTTCGGATTTGTTTACAAATTGTTCGTAGCCAAAAGTTCGCCAAATTTGTCGTATTTCGTGCTGATCGTGTATTATAACACTGTTATATAATAGAATTTTATTTCTTAAATTTAAGTTGAATAATTTTTTAAAATCCGTTTGTATATGCGCGGCTTTTCTCCTAATTACTTATCTTTTAAATTGTTAACTGCATAATCAGTGACACATTTTAAACAGCATAAAAGATGCATAAAAAAGAAAAGCATAGCTTATGTAATAATGAGAATACTCATTAAATTTGTCTATTATTTTCATGTTATTAATGAAATACTTTTTGGATTATAAATACATTAGAAACTATACTTTTATTGTAAATGCTACATATTGAAACATTGAAAATTTATGGATTTATTATTATGCATGATGAAAAACATTTGTATATACATTCATTAATATAAATCTTATTCATTACATTAATACTAATAAATATATATTAACAACTTCTAAAACATCGCATCTCTCTATCTGTATGTAAATATATGACTTATTAGATGTGTATATATATATGTATGTATGAATACAAAAATGAACATTGCCAAGAAGTTTATTTGAAGTTACTTTTAATTCAGATAACGATTATGTAATTGGCAGCAACTATAGTTATCAGTTCTTTGCAAATTATTATGGGTATGTAATAATCAGTTGAAAAATAATTGATGAGTATTTGAGTACTAAAGAGTGTACACATTTTGTTATTGGGTTAATTCATAATTATATCATACGTATGATCTACGTAATAAAAACATGATGACTAATAAATAATAAGAAATGTAACAGCTGTGCATTTATAACATTTGATTACTTAAAACAGCGCACCTTCATGTCTGTTTACATAATGAATTGCACTTTCCAATTAAGTGCACGGGCCTACTAGTGGCCGAAGCGTCGTTGAACACTGGTAGTTCTGTCTCAGGTTAGAATGCCGCGAACGGGCTGGCTACATGACGTTTCCTTGGTTTGCCCCATTTGTAACTGGTATACGAGCCAGTTTTAAAAAATCTTCTACAAAGGGATCCCTCCTGTTGTTATCCCTCGAGGCTTTGCGGTAATCACATAAAACCAACTGAGCCCACCAGCGGCCGAGCGGTAAAGTCGCTGAACACTGGTAGTTCGGTCCGAGGTTCGAATCCCGCGAACGGGCTGGCTGCATGGACGCTTTCGTGGTTTTCCCCATGTGTAACGTGTATACGAGCCAGTTTCCCTTAGAAAGTCCTCCACGAAGGCATCCCTTCCCTTAGGCAGATAGCCCTAGTGTGCTTTGCTGTAATCTCAATAAACCAAACCATAAAACAAACTCATGATGTGAACACCTAATTTCTAGAGTTGGTATAATTAATGTGTTTTAGGTATATTACCGAGTGTTCTATGGGACAGTAAACAACTCGCACATGTTTGATTGCTCATGTATTCATATGCTTTATTTGATCTTCATTTTGCTGAATAGTATCTGCTGGCTGTGAGGAGGTAAATATCAGCCATATAGATTTTTGTCATTTGAATGGACAGAACAGTAATTATGAGCCATAAAGTTAGTCAGAAAATGCTTTCACCAGGTCACAAATTTTCCAGTGAGCCATCAAATTTTCATTGAAATGCAGACAACAGAAAATACACATAAGCGATGTGTGATAAATAGACTTATCCAGCACATGTTTTTAAACTATTCTTAGTGTATACAGAATTTGGCTATTACTGATGTAATTGATTGCTATAACCAGAAGTGTGTTTATCTGTTACATGAAGTGCCAGAGTGGAGATCAAAGTGATTAACTTGATAGCAATCACCTTTCTATTATCTTCCATTACTAACAATAAAGTTTAAAACGAAAAGCGTGTGAGCGATACAAAACAACACGAAGAAGCGAATGTCACTTGAAAGGAAACGTCACTTTCGCCAATCTGAGCGATAACTGATTCTTGTTTGGCTTTCAGCCTGTTTGCCAAGTGAAGATGGTAACCCTATTTCGCCAAAGGCCGTTTCTTAGAACTGTTGCTGCAAACGCTTTGTTCCGGCAACAAACATCTAATGTGATAACGCTTTAAGAGTTGTTGGCAACGATAATGATGATTCGTTAGATCTAATAGCCAGAGTTGGGGGCGATATGAGACTGCAGTTAATAAGAGATTACAGCGATAAATGTCATCGATTCTCATTTTGTTATTATTTGTTTTCCTCTGGCAAGTCGGTATTCTTCGAATGTAATGTGAATACGATCCGATTTCTCTTATAAAGTTCTCCACAAAGGCATCCATTCTCTTTAGAGAAACCTACGGTGCTTTGCCATAATCAAACAAATAAGCAAATTAAACATTAAGCAGGTAAATCACCAGCTCTGCAGCTTTTATGTTTATTTACTTCGAATCGAAGATCAGTATTCATCTTTTGCTCTGGCTGTTCTGAAAGGCCTTAGACCGTAGGGGTCGACGTAGAGAATTCTGCGAAGCTACTGGCTAGGATCTGTACCTAGGCAGTCTCGGCCACGGGGGATAAAATTTATGAACTTGGTGGTTCTGAAGCCCCTGGGAAAGGTCACTTATTGGCCGGCCTCGGGGACTGGCATGTCCTGAGCCGTGTGGAACCGTAGCCGGAGGGCTAGTTCCCCTCGGTTTGCTGGGTAACGGCTAACTGCGACGGGCTCGCCCATGCGACTGGTAAGAGCAACTTTACGACCGGTGCTGCCCCTATTTCAGGTGGTGCGCTGCTCCCTTGGAAGGGTAATAGTGGAGGTTGAACCTCCACGAAGTGCCCAAAGGGGGAGTGGACCCGTAATGTGATTGAGTTCACGAGGCGGGGCAGCCCAAATTGTTGTTGTTGTTCTGAAAGGTCTTTAAACAATGTAGTACGCATGAACTTATGACAGAATTTTTCTATTTATAACTATTTATAGGCATCTAAAACGGAACATCTACTATCTAAAACATCTACTATGCAAATATACATTAAGATACGTTTCCGTAAAAGATGGCGAATAGAAAAGTAAAAGACGGCTACCCATCTATGTATAGAAGTAAATTAAAAACAAAAACATAATTAGTATGGAGATAATGGGAAGACGCCTCTCGATTTTAACAAAGACAGTTGCAGGAAAAATATAGGTTGGTCTAGAACAGAATAAATGAAGAAAAATACTAAAGGGTTCAAGATGGAAGTTTAATTCTGGAATACCAAAATTTCAGGACATTTATGTCGTAAAGAATTGAATTTTTTTTGGGGGGGGGCAGTTATGCAGATCTTTAGAATTTTGTTATTTCTTGTGTTCTACTGCAATATTAAGAACTAGTCAACTTACCAATAAGATCTAGTCAACTTACCTGGATAAACTGTTGAATTTCACCTGTTGAGCATGCAGTGTTTTTTCTTGTTTACCGCTTTCCGATGTCTTATTAACCGGCTGAGATAAAGAATGACGACTTCGAACAGCATCATAATATGATGGTGGTGTCTTAACCGTCGGAAGGCGTTGCCTACCATCGAGAGACAGCATACTTCCTGTTCTCGAGGGACTGCTTTCCCAGTTGGTCTCTTGATTTTGCGAAACCATGATCTTCTTCAATACACTTTATTTGTTCAACTGTTGTATTTTACTGCAATTAAATAAAGATTAATAAAGTTAGAAGAAGAGCAAGGTAATAATATCATTAAATGAATAAAAGGAAGAAGAAAATTATAGTTTATCGGAAAAATATAAGATGGGGAGTCGTTATGATAAAACGTCAACCATGCATTTCTATGCAAGATGGTGATCCATAGTGGAAATGCTAGTATATATGGTACACTTAAAAATGCGTAGAATTACGAGATGCATTTAAGGTTACACGTTACAGTTTTTATCTTACTTCTTTTCTGTACTTTCTATGTCTTTCGTCGTGCTTTAACAGAACGGAAATTAGCTGTGTTTATACAGCCAGCGAATTTGCAATTTAGAGAAAGTACTGTGACAACTGTTTATCTTGATTTGTCCACCTAGCCGACTTGATTAACGGGGGAGTGAATTTCTGTATCTGTTAGCGCGTGGGGCTGGAGTTGACGTTAGTTGACGACGAGTTATTAAAAGCTGAAAGTCAGTACGTGTATTGTATTTACATAAATACTTCAGCAAATAGCGGTGGTTCAGGAAGATTTTTATTTACATTACTAGATGTTCATATTTATTTATATCACCTATGTAAGTTTAAATAAATCTTTCAGTTGTGTTTTAATTAGATTTCTGTTTATTACGAAGATAAAAATTTTCCAGAGGTAGAGAAGATTGAACAGGTAATTAGGTTAAGCTTCCAGAATGTGATGTCAAAATCATTACAGAAATTAAATTGGGGGTGACAAAAATAAATAAATAAAATAAAATAAAAAATCTGAAAAGTGTCAGATTTTAATGGTAGCCTAAAATAGCAGTTTTAAAGTTTAATATGGTTTATTAGTAGATATTATTAATAGAGATGCTCCTAATGGAATAGCGAATTATTTTATAGGACTCTAGGCGTGCATTTTTATTCAAGTCAATCACATTAAAAAGTAAATAAATAAAAAACATTAATATTTCCTTAAGAAGTGTATCTATTGCTTTTAAATAGTTTAGTTTGTTGATCAATTATAGACAGAGTAAATATGAAAGGTAAAATAACTTACACTTTCACGAACGGCTAGACTCGAATAAAAGGCGAAACAACTCATTTACAGTGGACGATGCAAAATCGCGTTTCGGGACTAATACCCTTTTGTGCTTTAAAAAACGGAGGAAAGCGTATAAAAAACTAAAAACACACACATACAAAAAGAAAACGAACAAAAAAAGTAATAAAGTCTAGACGCCAAATTCCGTTTAATTATTTAGATCTTATTTGCATTTAATTTTTGTTAATTTAGTTCGAAAAATTTTTGCAGTTTCTATGAAGTTCATTAGCAAAAGGAGAGAGTGAGAAAACATTCGGTTGGAAGCAATAAAACAAATAATAATAAACAGCTAAATAATTCTTTAAAAAATATATTAACAAGCATGAAATAAAATGTGTACGAAAATAATGGTTTCTCAAGTAACCCAGTAAACTACATGTTCCTTTTAAGAAACCATGCTATTTTCCAGTTACATTGTTCAATGTGAGAAAGCTGTTCATCAAGTTAGGTGAGAGATATAGTGACAGGAAACGTAAACAATGACACTTTTTATGCTCAGAAGAAGAAATTAGCGACAGAAAACAACAGAATGGTTGAAAGCTCACGAAAACAATAGGAGAAACCAAGCATGTAAACTTGACTTGCAAAAGGAGTTTTTATACCTATGTTTCCATTCATTATTGTATTGTTCTCGGGAATGTGTTTAAAGATTCGTAAGGCAAATTAAAGCAATAATTAATTAGGGTTGCTTCGAAAAGGCATTTAGTACTGTTCCCCTATTCGCGGGTAATACTTTTCTGGAATGTCGTGGATACACGTAACAACGGATAATAGCGAACGTTAAATTAAAATTTTTGTAGCATATATATTTACGTCTAAGGGATCAGGTGCTTTTAAATGATTATTATTATTATTTTAATATCACCAGAGTTGCTATTAATCTGATCCAGAATTCTCTGCCGGTATCATTTTTCACATAAAAAGATTTGGACTAATAAAAGATGTTGCAATCATTCCGGAATTCTGAAAACATACTGCTTTTAAAAGCTTTGTGACATTACTGCTGAATTTATGTGGTGTAAATGCGAAGAAAGCGAAATTAAAAAGACAATAAAAAATTGTGTTAACAGGAATGAGTCCAACAGCAGATTAGTAAATTGCGAACTCAGTAAGAGCATAAAAATTCTTAACAAACCCTCTGGTAAGACGTTAAAATCTGCTGCTTTTAAAAATTTTATGCTGTTATTGCTGAATTTTATGTGGTTTATATGCGAAGAACGCCATGTTTAATAACAAGTTAAAAAGACAAAAGACTTCCCCCCCCAAAAAAAAAGTTTTAACAGGAGTGAGTGCAAGAGCAGACTAGTAAATACGAGTTGAAAGCCAGTACCACCTACATGCATGTTTGTAGGTAGTACTATCTCATCCAGAGTATAAAAAACCTTAACCCTTTGGTGCGACGTTAAAATCTGAATCCTTTCAGTCAGAGCTTTTTTTTTTTTTTTTTTTTTTTTTTTTAAAAAAGCCCAAAAGGGCTATTAATTTCGTTTTGGCATTTTGCGTTGATTCACTATAAATTTCAGTTCACTTTTCAAATTGTTGTCACCAAATATTATCGCCGTGTGTTATATTTAAAGAAATTAAATAATGAAATGAAAAATCTGAAATAATGAAGGTCATCATAAATGTATATATGTTTCTCGCATTGTGATAAAACAAAGGTACCTAGAGCCATCAAATTTTTAATAACGTAATCCTCCACCGAATATGGGCATCTGATAACCCTAATTTGGAATTGAAATTTGTTTTATTATCGATTTCATATTTTGTAACACTTCAACGAATTTTTTATTAACGAACTCAACGATTTCAAAGCGAGCAATGGCAACACTCTACGGGGGGGGGGGAACTTTTTATTTCCAGAGCGCGAGACTGTTTATCGGAAATTCTAAAGATATTCTCAGGTTAAAACTATTTTGAGACATCTATTGAATTGAATTTTATGGTTTAAGTGCAAAGAACAAATTTAATAAATAAAGGTAACACGCAAAACGTTAAAAAAAGTCCCTTTGGGCGTAATATAAAATCTGAAAAATTTCCGGTTTTTTTTTTTTATTGTAATACACTTTTTTGATACTTTTCTTGCAATTATTTTAAAACAAACCCCATAGTAAGTAATTCTAATTTTTTACCAGACTACATTTGTTTTTCAATAAATTCCCCTGAATTATATATAATATTTTACTGTATACAATTTTATGCAAACAAATAATTAAAAGTTATATAAGAAAAGTTAATTTAGTAACATATTTAGCAATACATTTATTAGTTTTCGGGAAAAAAAATATGCTTACAAGGTTTGAATGTAATTCCTTTTCCAATTAAGGTTTAATTGTGGTTTTCATGCTGCTTTCATCATTTAGCTGAACTGGCTGAATTGAATTTCAAGGAATTGTGATAAATTATGTAAACACTATAATCTATATAAAAATCATCCATTGTTGTGCTTCTCACATAAGAAATTTTAAAACTATAATTAAGTTTGAAATCGTAGGAAAATTTCGACTCTTCATTGTATTAATCAAAATTATGAAGATGATGTGCATTAAAGGTAGTCATTTCTTTCATTCATGATTTCTCGAAACTATAATTTCTCTGAAACTGTCTGTCAGAATTTTAATTTTGATCAATTGTATAAAGCTTACATGACTACAGAGCGACTAATTATTATACTTATCGCATCAAAACATTAGAGATTACGCTTAATTTTTTGTTTAAAAATATTTAATCCTGGGGTCTCAAAAATAAAGATTGTTATTTTTTAAGAAAATATAATTCGATTATTTTTCAAGTAGATCGCTTTAATTATGCATTATTTTTCTAAGCTGAAAAAGCAATCTAGTAAAAAATAGCGATTTTTTTATTTATAATGCTGTTCTCAGTATACATATAACAATTTTATATCGATAAGAAAGAAAGTTTTTATTTCATGCAAAATATTTTAACATGGGAAACATTCAGGAACATAAAGTAAAAGTGATATATTTTGATAAACGAAATTTCCGCAATTAAAATACTTCTTTTACTTCGTAGAAGGAAGTAAAAAAAATCAGCTAAAATATTGATTAAATTGTCTAAAATGCTGTTCGCATTACACATTATAATTTTATAACGATGACGAAAAAAGAAGTATTTCATTTTTAATTTATTTAAAATATTTAATAACTGGAATATGAAGTAGCAAATGCAATATCACAGATTTCGACATAAGTACATAAAATTTCCCGATCATACACCTGTCAGCATTTTTGACATATTTTGACATTTTAAATGTATCTGACCCCTTCAATTTAATTCATAAATTATAGAAGTAAAGTATTTCTAAAAGTGCAGTACTATTACAAATATTGCTTCTGGCTTTGCGTAGATAGTTAAGCCATTTAGAGTTCCGTCTTTGTTAAGCTAGGTTAGGTAATTTGAATATGGCACACGAAGGGTATTTGCCTCAGGGAAAGGATGCCTTCATGAAGGACTTTGTATGTGAAACTTAGGGATTCCTAAGAGCTTTTCTAAGGGCTCGTATTCATGTTACACATGAGGGAAAACACAAAACCAGCCATGCAGTCAATCCTCTTCGCCTGAGATCGAACCCACGTCGAACTCCCAGTAATTAGCAATAGTCTAAAACAAATAATTTTGTGAGGATTTATCTATTTATTTTTGATTAATAGTTAATTTTGAGTTAACGTACTTTTCTGTCACTCTCTTTTCATCTACGCTTTTCATGCCAGACTATAAATGAGACAGCGAGCGTTTATTCAGATTGAGGGAGAAAGAAGTACTATTTAAGCGAAGGTTTCGCTCGTTGATTTTAGAGTGTATTCTGCCTATTTGAGGCTACGTTATTACCGTGACTTAACCCTTTCCGGCACGTTACCTTTTAAAATTGGAGTTTTGATTTAAAAAAAAAAGGTAGGCAGTCTAATTAGGCCTAGAGGAGTACACAATATTTTGTGAAGATAGCACTTATATTTTAATTCAATTGAATAATATTTTAATTCAATCAGTGGGTGTGCCCCACTGATTGAATAGATCTTCGAAAAGAGTGCTGAAACGAGCATTGCTGTCAATGAACTGACCGATGAGATGCGGAGAAACAAAGAATACACACTCTCAGTTGCCCTAGATTATCGGTGAGCCCGGTCTGGGCACATCTAGGGTTCGCCGTTGATGATTTAGGCAGATTTCAAGGTAAAAATTTAAACTAATATAGAATAAGGAAGTTAGCATACAGCCAAAAAAATAACATAGAAATTTCTTTCAAACAATTCCTTTTATACCCCCCAAAAAAATCGGAAGATTTCTTTGAAAAATGAGCGTCTTAAAAACTAAACATGGCTAAAATATACGGACTGGTTTGTGTTGAGCTGCCATCTACTATAAATAAAGAAGGTTCACAGTAACCTAGAAATCCTTTTTCCTTCAATTTTTCTGTGCGTACAGAAGGAAATTTTTAGGTGTGTCCAGACCGGACACACTGTGCCGCAAAGGGTTAATAGCGATTTGATTCTGTGGCGTTGAGTGCTTCTAACCATTAGGTTTGTCTCGTCGGTTTTCTAAAAACTAGAGCCTTTCCTGTGCGTTACTTTATCCTGTGAGCGGTTAGGCTAATCATTTGATTTTAGTTCAACATTACTTATTTATTAAGCCAGAAGTGTGGGGCTGTGTAAACCCAAGTTGGGTCATTGTTACTTCTTTGTATTCCAATAAAAGGATCTTATACACCCTTCTCCTGACTATTGTTTTTGCATCAGAAGACTTGAAGATAATTCTTCTATAGTCTTTTAAGAGTACGGTTGTGTATGCTTCCTAAGAACAACAGACTTTATACTTTTATTAGATATTCAGCCTAACAATTTACACAACTCGTGTAATAACAGAAGAAGTAAAACTTAAATATTTAAAATGCAACCCAGCCCGTATAGTGGCTAGTGACCCTGATTGCCATATCTATTTGCCCGGGCTCGAATCCCAGAGAAAGCATGATTGTAGCGGTTCGTCCCTTTATAGGAGGCAACGGCAGCCACCTATTAGGTAGGTGCTTCCATGATAAAATGGCCCCCACTTTTGGCCTTAGTAGTGGCGCAAAGCTAATGGATATTAAATGAAACGCCCGGTCATTGAAAAAAAATATTTAAAATACGATATTCACAAGACAAAATCTGCGTATAAGTTTTGGCTAAGCCCTCGATTCGTGCGAGCAAATTTGGCTATTAAAGCTCACTCAAGTAAATCTAGACGCTCTGCAAAAATAATAACAAGACGGTCAGCGGTGGCTGCCAGAAGTTCTCTGCTAACTTCAAGAATTCTGTTCTTGCATGCATTAACTAACACCATGGTGGGAGCGAACGAAAGTGGAAGTAGCAATAAAGGAAAAATGATATAATATGTGATTAGTAAATATAAAAACCTCACAAAACATTCTACACATTACAGTACTTTATAGGACACTATAAAGTAATGCATTTAGTGGCACAGTCCTAGAAGAAGTCCTAGGATTTTAAATCTCAAAGAAACTACATGCCGAAAGGAAGTACTCATTTTGAATAAATCCCTGCATACTGGCTAATTATTGCTCATCTCAATAAATATTTTAATACCAAATTCAATGTAATGTTTTGTATATTAAAATTTCATAACTTTTTTTACTGTATGACATCTCATGCATCACCTTTAGGCAACGATAGAAACATTAATTTGATACGGTCTGTCGTAAACACAAAACACTCTAGGTGTTCTCAGAAAACTTTTCAGAGAAAGAAACAAAGATTGGAGGCAAATTATTACACAATAAATTTTTATTTAATGATTTATTTCGGGGAAGTCACAAGTAGGTTATGAAATACAGTGAGCATATACTATATATCTCAAAGCAAAAAATATATTTTTTACTCAATTTCAAGGGGGACCAAGTACCCATTTTTCCCCCCTGCTGATGCTTATATTAAGTACCAGCTATGATAAAACATTGTGACTTTACTTATTATGAATGCTTTTTGCTTGAATGATTTATCATAAACATAATTTCTGATTCTAACAGATGGACAAAAACTCAAAATTTCGAAATTTTAAAATAATTAAAAAAAACTTGCATCAACTTACCTAGATTTAGGCTTATAGAGCGAAGAGAGAAAGACAGAATCATTTTTAAATCCATACAATTGTACTGCTGACTGACAGATTTCTCTGCTAAAACAAAAAGAAGATTTTTCAGTACAAATTTCTTTCAAACATGCGGAAGTATACAAATTCAGTTTAATAACAATAAAATATATATTGTAAAGTAATATGTATGTATATAAATAGCTTTTGTGAATGTATTTATTTCAATAAAACATGAGAATTTGAAAGAGTGCCCATTGTCGAGTGTATCTAAGGAGACGCCTGCCCTAGTAACAAACTATACAAAGAAAAACTTACGAATACAGTGAACTTGCTAGTGGCAACCAACTCCCCAAGATAAAAGTAGCCAGCAGTTCAAAGAACATAATGACATAGGTGTTGAACTTTATTTTTTTAAGACGGCTACTTCGACAGAAGATCAACATTTTGCACTCAAGATGTGACTCCGAGTCACCACTTGATTTGATGCTGTAGGTCTCGATCACCACTCGGTCGAGTGATAACGATGTTTATTTAGGTTTCTTTTGGGCAGTATCGCTTCATGAGTGCATTCAACAATAAAATTCGTAACAATTTCGTAAATTTGTTCTAAATTTTTCCATAACTGCTCAATCATTAATTGATTTCCTTAAGAAAGGCAACGAGTTCCACTTTGGTGTCAATGAAAGAAATACTTTCAATCTTTTGAGACAATCGTTTATGTGAAAAACCCGTTCTTACCATCTATAATCAGTACAGCGATGCCAGTATTCATGGTTAGGGTTGTATTCCCATGAAAAGATACTGATAAGTTACCAGTAATGAACTTTAAGTATTAGCTGTAATTCAAGCTTTGAAAAAAGTTAAGAATTTATCTTTTAGGCAAACACTTCAAAATTATTACTGACCGTAATTCCTTCAAAATGACAATCAAGAAGAGAGACTTACAAATAGCACGCTGGGCATTGATGTTAGAAGATTTCGACTACGAAACAGAACACCGAAAGTGAAAACGTATGACACATGCTGATGTAATAAGCAGATCCACTGTTATGGTCATCACTCAAGACAGCCTCATTTTCAAAACACAAAATGCCTCAAGGGCAAAATGATCACATTCGAGCTATCAAAGATTTAAAAGTTAAACCTTGTGATGACAATTGTGTTAACCCTTTGCGGCACAGTGTGTCCGGTCTGGACTCACCTAAAAATTTCCTTCTGTACGCACAGAAAAATTGAATGAAAAAAGGATTTATAGGTTACTCTCAACCTTCTTTATTTATAGTGGAAAAGCAATTGTTTGAAAAGAAATTTCTATGTTATTTTTTTGGCTGTATGCTAATCTCCTTATTCTATATTAGCTTTAAATTTTTACCCTGAAATCTTGCCTAAAATCAAACAGCGAACCCTAGGTGTGCCCAGACTGGGCTGACCGATAATCTAGGACAACTGAGAGTCTGTATTTTGTTTCTCCGCATCTCATCGGTCAGTTCATTGACAGCAATGCTCGTTTCAGCACTCTTTTCGAAGCTCTATTCAATCAGTGTGCCACAGAATTAAAACGATAAGTGCTATCTTCACAAAATTTTACTTGTGTACTCCTCTAGGCCTAATTAGACTGCCTACCTTTTTTTTTTTTTTTTTTTTAAATCAGAACTCCGAATTTAAAAGGTAGCATGCCGGAAAGGGTTAAAGCCGATATACTTTATAAATTTTTAGGCAGCAACGAATTACTTTTTTTTACATAATCAATGCGAACTAATATAATTAAGGACTCAATCTTCGTGCCCATTTCGCTTCTACCCGAACTGAAGAACGCTTCAAACACAAATTTACATACCTAAAGACAAAATTGAAACTATATTGCAAATCGTGTTCCTTGCACATTAATTAATGGTAAATGTATGTTGCATTCGATAACCCAAGCAAGGTGTACACTTTCATAACATATCACATTGATTATTCTGGACCACTCGAAAATACTCATAAAAATTACAAGTATATATTTGCAGTTATTGACTCATTCACAGAGTTTGTATGGCTTTCCCCAACAAAATCTAATGATAGCGCCAAAATTATATTTAAATTGGAAAATTAAAAATTTTTCTTTGGAAATCCTTCTTGTATAATTTCCGATAAAAGTTGAGTATTTACTTCTAAAGATTTTCAAGATTACTGTTCCACGAATAATATTTAGCATATTCAATTGACTACAAGACTGCTTCGTGCCAATGGACAAACTGAGAAATTGAATTATGTCATAATTTCTGTTCTTTCCATATTATCGATTCAAAGTCCAACAAAATGGTATACACACACTGGTGAAGTTCAGTAAGTGATTAATACTAAATACCAATGGAGTATGAGTACAACTCCATTCGAACTGAAGTTTGGAACTAATATGAAATCTGCCGATTTTGACAAAATTGCAGAGCTGTTAAATGCAGAGATCCAGTTAGATTTCGTCAACGCTTGTGAGCATCTTCGACAGAGAGCTAAAGTGGAGGTTAAAATTCACAAATCTATAAGTTACGATGTAAACCATCCCGTAAATTCCACCTTCACTCCTCATTTTTCGTGTCTCCTGCTTCAAAATAACCTACTGACTCTACAATGGCGTCCGAACTAAAAGGTGGTAGATAATTATTTTTCATTGGCGACTGGGTCCCCTAATCCTCAGTATCATGCAAGTATCATATGATATGGAATAATTTTGAAATGATGCAATTTAGAGAGATTTGTCGTAAGCAGTCACTGTTTTTAGGATAGAAAGAGGAAATACCCAAATTAAAACAAAGAGTTAAAGGACTATTACAAATAAAACTTGGAATGAGCAACCACCTCAGTAGAAGTCGCCAAAATTTCAAAATCTGCCAAACTCTGGTTACTATGCACATAACTATTCTTCCGGCAACCATGCTTACAGCAATCGTTTCAGTCAAGCAACGCCGCCATTTTCGTTTAAACTTAGTTTTAAAATATGAGCTTGTGGAATTTGCCAGGATTGGAAAAAACTGCGATAAAATTTCGGCAGGTACACAGAATTTTGCTGAACATTTTCTAAAGGGAACAACGAGAAAATGAGTTTCCTATATAATTGCTCTAGGCGGGGAATACACCAGGCCGAATCTCCGCAATTCTCTGATGTCGTTTTAAGCGAAAACAGATCGCTGTGAACTTCAGAAGAAGAATAATGAAACAAACAAACAAACAAACAAACACACAAAAACAAAACAAAACAAAATATATATATATGGAAAGAACGAAGAATGTAAGTGTTTTATTTTTTTAATGTATCACGTAATCCTTATTTAATAACTCAAATTTGTAGTTTAAATTGCTAAAGTAAGTTTTCTTCTCACATGTCAAAAATGTTTACTGACTCACAATAAATATCGATAGTTTGGGTATCTTTCTTAAAAAAAGTGCGAAAACCACCATCTTGCGTCAAATGTGTAGCTTTTCATTTGAAAACAAAATCGCCAGATTCTACCAAGTTGGCTGAGTTAATATTTAAGTAGCGTTAGAATTTTGATTTACATATTTTTCTGACACATTGATATATTTAGCTTCTTAATTTATGTATGTGGTTGAATACTCTTGAGAACAGTTATCATGGATATTTTAATAATTAAAAGAGAAAAAAGACGAATCTGCGCGTTGGCTGCTAGATTATAAAATGATAAAAAAAAAAAAAAAAAAAAAAAAAACGTCGGAACGAAAATGAATAAAATTCTGTTCTTGAAAAAATATGAAGGTCTAACCTTTCCTCTCCGGGTAAAAGTTAATTGAATGAACGCTAATTAATGAAACTTTTCAAAAACGGTATCGTTAAATGAAAATTAAAATGAGAAAAGAGGAAAGTTTTTAAAAATACAGAACATGATACATAACAAAAAAATATCAGAATAATTTTTTATTAATCTCCTCTGTCTAACGCTTCAAACAGAACTTGCCAAGAGAAAAGTGTTTTAGACTTAAACCAAGTCGATTAATGAGTTCCGAATACATGTTTTGTTCCTCTGAACCATTTCAGACTTAAAACTGCATTAGGTTATACATAATTTGATTGAACAAGTTCTTTTTCAAATTTGAATAGCGAATTGCTTTATTAATTTTTGTTTTATAACTTCCTTTTTGATTTAATTTAGTTTTATGTAATTAGTTTGGATTTTGAGCCTAATTTTAGATTTCTGTACTACTTTTAAGCATTTGCATATAATTTTTGGTTTGAGTACGAATGTATGTAGAGAAAGTATTTGAGCATTTCAGAAATTTGTTTTAAATTGAAGATTTGTTTTGAAAAGAAGAAGATGAAAAGCGGTTTTAAGTCTCAAATGGTTCAGAGGAACGAAACATGTATTCGGAACTCATTAATCAACTTGGTTTAACACTTTAAACACTTTTCCCTTGACAAATTCTATTTGAAACGTTAAACAGAGGAGATTAATAAGAAATTATTCTGTTATTCGTTTTGTTATGTATCATGTTCTGTATTTTTAAAAACTTTTATCGTTTCTCATTTTAATTTTCATTCAACGATTTCGTTTTTGAAAAGTTTCATTAATTTGTGTTTACTCAGTTAACTTTTACCCGGACAGGAAAGGTGAGACCTTCATATTTTTTCAGGAACAGAATTTTATTCATTTTCGTTCCTACCTTTACTTTTTGATTTTTATCCTTGAATATATATGTTAATTCCATCGCAACCATTCAATTCTCTTTTGGATGCGGAGGAACAGTACGTGAAAACAATTAGAAATATTGCAAACAGATCTTAAATTGCACCGGAGCCCGGCTCTGGTACTTCTTAGTTTTGGGGATAAATCATAATTCTAGTCGGAGCGCACCGAAGCCCTAAATTAGGAGGCTCCGGCGCTTCTTTTTTGTAACTGAACAACAATTTCAGTAGAAATTTGATCTCGAAAATTTAATTTTTTGCAATAAAATTATATTACATTAAAAATTCATCTCTTTACATTTATTTAATTTTAATTAATTACGTTTTATCTTTAATTATTTAACTTTTTAATAATATTAATTAATTAATTTTATTTAATTAAATAATAACATTAATTAAATAACAA